GGGGAGCAGCCGGGGATCGAACCGGCACTGCAGAGGCTGCGGGCAGCTTCGCAACCCAGCGCTCAACCGCTGCGCCACCGGGGAGGCCCTCGCGGAGTGTTTTTAAATGTCAGCGTGGTATACATTTAAATTATTTTGTAAAGTCATTCTCAAGCATGCAACTGGAAAACCAAAGTTCATTTAAATTCCTGTTTTCAAGAAAGAGTGGTAAATGCCGTGTCCCTTTACATAATCATAGTCCTTTTTTGGAAAAAGTCTCTGTTGGCATACTTCTGCCAATTAATTGCAAGAGAACTTGGTATCCCCTGGGGTTGCCGTAGAAATTAGCAAGCAGGATGCTTCTCCCATTTCAGCTGCGGAGGACGTTCTAATCCTGCAGCTTGAGTGGGGTGAAGAGTGATTTAGGGGAGAATGGAGCTGATTAATAAGAAGTCCTGGTCCTGTTTTAATAACACGTTCTGACCCAATGAAGAGATGTCAAACTCGGTTTTCTCAGCCGTGCTGTTAAATTATGCAGACGGAACACTTGACTCCGACTGAGGCCGTCATGGGATTCTGCTTTCCAGGGAGCTGTGTGCCTCGGCGTGGTTGTTTCCACCCAGTGTGCTGGTGCTCGGCCCCGGTGAATTTCCGTCCAGCGAGAATCACCTTGCTAAATGGAGGGTTTGCCCCGCAGATGACGGAGTGATGAACGCGGAGAGCAGGGCCCCGGGCTCCCACGCGTGGCGATTCTCTGCCCTTACGCCCACACCCCGCCCGTGGGGGCACAGCCGTTCAGACAAGTGCTTACCCGCAGACTCCCGCAGCTACAGCTCTGTAGCCGAACAGAGGCCCTGCGGGCGGAGCAGAGGTCCAGTTGGCTGTGACCTGGGACTCTCACCTGCCCGCGCCCCGCGCAGTCCCAGTGTTCTTGGCCGCGCTGCTCACAGCTAACCCCACCTTTGTTAACACGACTGCCCCAGCTGGAAAGCACTGGGCTCCATTCCCACTTACAGTTACCCCAATAAACCAGTACCTGCCCTGCGTGCCACTGCTTCCTCGCCGGCTGCAGCCCTGGGATGTCTGAGCTGGCCGCTCCAGGGCAGGGGCAGCAGGGCGGGGACCCCCGCATCTAGGTGTGTGTCAGACCGGCTCGCTGCAGGATTTTTTTTTTTTTTTTTTTTTTTAAGATTTATTTATTTATAGAAGAACCGGGGTACAGACTCGATGTGAGGGAGGGTGAGAGGATTCAGCAGAGACAGAGCGGGGAACAGAACAGGCAGACTGACGAAATACACTGCTGAGGGGAGCAGCGGGCGAGGCTGGACAGGTGTGCGGCGCCACATGGGACCCTCGCTGGCTGGCAGGGATCGAACCCGCGCTGCAGAGGCTGCGGACCACCAGGGAGGCGCCTCAGCTGCAGGTTTTATGTCAGGGTGACTCAGAAGTCTCTGTGCAGCTGGCTTGGCAGCGCCATCTGCTCATGACTGTAAATTCTGGGGGGGGATGCTCCGTCTCAGCTTCCACGCCCACTCTCCCCACTTCGTGGTCGCAATTAATGCTTATTGTGAAAGACCTGCCAGAGAGCTGGCTGCTGGGTGGAGGCGTGGGGCGTGGGGCTCCCCTAGGGCCCCAGGCAGGGAGGCATGTCATCCACACTGGCCTAGCGCTGAGCTGGGAAGGAAAGCACAGGTTGTCCGTGGACAGCTCCGGCGGCCCACATGTGTCCTGGCCGGAGGGGGCAGGCGAGCCTGGTTACTGCTTGGGAGGCGGGCGGGGGGTGTCCTTCACGGCGGCGCGGCAGGTAGCCTGGAGACTGGTGCGTTGGTGTGAGTTGTCCCCACTAGCAGTACCTGCGGACGTGACCCCGCAGCTGAGAGCCGCGTCCAGGCCCCTCCACGAGCACTCACTGATCACTCCCGTAAACCAAGGGCATTAGCAAGCCTCCCCAGGGAGTCAGAAGCTTGCATGCCCCCAGACACCTGCCTCGGCATGTTCACGGCAGCTGTAGTCTTCGTTGCCACAACGCGGAGGCCACAGAGATGCCTTCGGTGGCTGAGTGCCCATCGGACAGCACAGGGTGTTCCATCGGAACACGTTACTTGTAGGATAATTTAAGACATCATGTTATGAATTGGACACTAAATGAAAGCTAAACTCACTTTGCGGAATGATGATCAAAATCAGTTTTAGGGGTTTGTGGGGTTTTTTTGTGTGTTTGCAGCTCCCTGGGATTTCTTGGACCAGGAGGAACTGGAGGCCTTTCTTGCTAGTGGGGAGCATGTGGAGACCTTGTTAGCGTGTGGTGTGGCGTGGGCAGTGGCTGGCTAGCTGCCAGCTTCCTGGGCACGCTGCAGCGTAGCCCTGTGCCCATCTCAGACCATCCTTTCACATCTCACGCAGTAATAACCCATTGCACGTCTGTGCAGCGTCAAGGAAAATGGATGGACACGTAAGGTTCCTGCCCACAGATAAGCAGCACTGACGGGTTAATTCCCAAAAACAAGAGTTCCAAGCAGAAGTCCCGTAGGCATCGGACAACACATCTTCCCACCTCGCCGGCACAGGCGGCTTTACGAAAAGAATCCTGAGACGTACCTTCTTTTTCCTTTCGGCTTTTTGGTGTGTTTCTCTCTCTTGAAAGCACAGTAGAGGTTGGGCCCTCGGAACTTTGTGTAAGATCAGCCTCCAAGTCTCCTCTACGCACGCAGGTTGGGGGTATAGCGAAGGTGGATTCTTGTGAAGAGGTGAGGCGTTCCGAGGAAGCAGCTCTGTCACCTTCCACGCGGGGTTCCCGCTCTCCTGGGGGTGAGCAGGCCAGAAAGGAGGACGTGGCGTGATTCTCACCGCCGGTGGATGGAGGCCCGTGCCGACGCCCTGCTTTCTGACGCTGCCATGGTATCCAAGTAACGTTCGTTTCTATCGGTCACGTGGCACACACGCATTGGTCTTTGTCAGCAGAGACATCCTTGCATCCAGGCTTCCAGAGTCCGCCCCTCCACCCCCGTCCTCGGTACGTCTCCCCGGGAGAACAGTCTTCCTGCAGCGAGCCCTCTCCCGGGGCCACGTTTTCCAGCGCCGTCGGAAATGGGCCTTAAGGTGCTGACAGTGTTGGAAAGTCTGCCGGAGAGGGGTCTGGACGCGGGTGGGCCGTCTCGTGCGACCCCTGGGCCCCGGGTGCGCTCCTAGCGCGTGCTCGCGGGCTTGCTGCTGGGGGCATCCTTGCGAGGACCGCTCAGCAGTGATGAGCCCTCCGAGGCTGCGCTCTTCTTCATTTGGTGTGTGCAGCCGTGAACACAGTCATTGTGACACGTTGCGTCACGAGAATGGCGCGAGCCAGCCGTGCTTCCCATTTTCTTGGCTTCCGTGACACCGATGATGCTCATTGTCGCTGCTGAGTCTCACAACATAGATGCGAGGTAATCTTCGCTTCTGAGGCTCTGGCTTGTGAGTGACCGTCAGTTCTGGAGCCGAGGAGGCGAGTTGGACTCGGAAGCTGCCTCGGAACAGCTTGGAGTAAGAACTCTTTCTCTGTCGATCACTTACTGAATTATTATGGATTTTAATGTTTTAATTTTCAAGCAATTTGGGGCTCTTTGTGGTGACATCTGCTCATATTTTGATACGGTATTTAGCGATTTCATCCTCAGACGATTGCCCCTGTGATTTACAAGCCAGACCTGAGGACAGTCGTCTGCTCTCCGCTTGGGCTTACCACGAGGAGTATCGTTCGTTCACTTTCATCGCTGCTGCAGAATTTCTCTCATCACAGAATGTATTTTCATTTTATAAGCTAAATCACTACTCCCTTGTGCCTGCTTCACTCCGGTGCCCTTGAGTTTCTCTTCAAAGAGGTGTGGGCAAGTTTTGCTTAAATCTCATGATTTTTTTCCCAGTGGTTGATTTTTTTTTAAATTACTTGGTTAATAAATTCTCTGTGTCCTCATGATTTTTAAAGATGCGCCGTAACGAAAGTTAGCCAGCTCTGCACCTGCAGAATCCCGGCCTCTCCTCTCTTCCAGCGGGGTAACCGCGGCAGGACTCTGGGGATAATTCACTTGAATTTCCTTGAAGCATTTCGTGAGGTTTTGTAGAAACGGACATATAAGGAAGATCCCCTCCCGGCCACGCGTGTGGACGTGAGCTGTGGTCCCTCTGCCACCCTCTGATCCTCTCCAACGACTGTCGATCCAGGCTTTAGAGAAAAGGACGGTGTGGCCTCCTCCGTTCTTGAGTTGTTCAATGATAATTTCAGCTCTGTGGGAGGCTGGATTCATTCGCTGCCAAAGAGATTTACCAGGAAGGAGGTGTAAATAGCATTAAGCCGCTGCTGGTCAGTTAATTAGTGTATCCAGTGGCAGAAAAATCAAATTAAAAGTTGGGCGAGGAAGGGTTGTCTTCCAAGATGCAAGCCGGACAGCAGAGATGAGAGCCAATGGCCCTCCCGGCAGGCGGACGTCAGGGCGGCCTTGAGCTCCCGGGGCTCTCTTGGGGACGCGAAGGGTGGGGTGGGGCAGGTGGTCGTGTGTCTGCTGTTACGGGCTCCGCGCAGGTGTGTGTGAGGACTGAACATGGCCTCGGGTGGCGTCTCAGCTGTCTCAGGAGCAGGTTCTCTTGCCCTGTTTAATGCATCTGGGAGGCGTGCGTGTGCGTGTAAAATCCTTAAAACGAAGGTAGGCCACTCGGGACCTGGTTTGTGATGAGAGGCATCAACAGTATCTCCACCAAGATGATCTTCCAGAGTCAAGCCCGCTGACCCTTGTCACTCCCCCTTTTCACTTTGCAAAGAAAGCCGCAGAGGTGCCGTCCAGGGCGGACACGAAGCAGCAGTGTTGGGTTTGACTTGGGATGAGGCGTGACAGTGTCGTGGGCTAGATGGTGCGGTGACTGTCACTGACCAAGTAGCGGGGGTGGGGGGAGGTGTTGTGCCCCCAAAGGTCTCTAAGGTTCTTTTCAAAGCGCCTGTTTCTCACCAGGCAGGTGTCCGGCGCCCCCCTGGCGGAGTCTGTGACTGGATGCTGGGGAGCCTGCTGGTCCGACGGTGTGCGCATGCAGTCGCCATAAAGGTAAGCGCCCGCCTGCCGGGGCTCTGGCCTCACCCCACCCCCACCCCCCAGTTTTATAAAAGTTGCCTTTCAGGAGATGGCATTTTAAGGATTTATTTTAGTGCTTTTTGCTATTTTTCTTTAATGCTTTTTTAGGGGGAAAGTGCAGAAAGTTTATCCTTTGAAAACATGAAAATTCGAGGAGGGTTTTTGCTTCACTGTTATGAAAGACCAGAACAGAATGTAACTAAAGTCAGACCCGTTTACGTGAGGTTTTTTGTTTAAAGCCAGTTATATACAGATTGCTTTAGCCGGTAAACATGCATAGGTGTTTTAGTGCTTTACTCAAATATTTGGGACAGTGCAGTAAGGAAAACAGTAGTTTAGAAGTTGTCAAGTAGTTGAATATGGGATTGCTTTGACTTGGCTTAATATTTTTAAGACTTCTATGTTGTCGCATGAGTTTTTTTTAAGATTTTTATTTATTTATACACGCACTGGGGTACAGTCAGAAGTGTAGGAGGGTGAGAGCATTCACCAGAGCCAGAGCGGGGAACAGAACAGGCAGATCCACTGAAATCCACTGCTGAGAGGCGCAGCGGGCGAGACAGGAGAGGTCTGCTGCGCCCTGTGGGACCCTCGCCAGCCGGCCAGCCGGAATCGAACCCACACCGCAGAGGCTGTGAACAGCTTCACAGGCTGCGCTCAACCCCCTGCGCCACCAGGGAGGCCCAGCATGAGTGATTTTTAACGGCCGAATCATATTCCATCCTACGGAAAGACCCACATTACTGTATCGATGCAGGAACTGGTGGGCACCTGAGTTGTGGCCACCTTCTGGTGGTTACACTAGATCTTGTGAGAACTGCATGTTTGGCATTTGCGGGACTGTCAGACTTGACCGTGGTGGCTTCAGTCGGTAGTTTGGGGGATGCAGTTTAATCAGCTTCTGAAGGCCACGGGGAAGGTGGGGGCTGAGACAGGCTGCTCACCACGGGTGACTTACAGAACCCCAGCTTCCGTTTCACCGAACTGACTGCAGACTGCGTCCCCTCTGTGCGTGAGGCCTGGGTGTTCACTTGGCTGTAGTGGTGGCTTTCGCTGTCTTTCGAGCTTTCGATAGAGGATGGCCGTGGGGTCGTGCGAGATGGACACGGCTGCCGACCGGGGACGGCACAGGTGGTGCAGTGCCGTGGCTTGGGGGCTGCCTGTCGGGAAGCAAGGGCCGCTCGCTGTTCTGTGAGCTGGCGGAGCTAGCACGGCGTATCCTGGGCACCGGGACAGCCGCTCGGAGCAGACCGTGGCGGCTGCACTGTCGTGGGTCAAGGTTGAAAAGTTGTGGGGTCACGGTGAACATCTTGGGGTACAGTACAGCTTTATCCAAGTTTCTCGGCTACCCTGTCCCGTTTGCCCAGTTCACTCAGCCCTACCCGCAGCTGCTTCCTCTGGCTCCCCCTAATTAACTAGTCATAGAGCCTGAGCGATTATTTCTTCCAATTAGGTTTTTTTTTTTTTAATCTCTACATCCCACGGGTGTTTCTGTTTCTCTGCCTTACTCCGCGGAGCATCATGTGCTCCGGTTGTGTCCATGCTCCTGCAGCCCACGGGCCTCCATCTTTTTCACGGCTGAGCAGACGCCATCGTGGCTCTAGGCCACATCTTCTGTCTCTCGTCATCGGTCCGTGGCTCTCGGGGTGTTTCCAGTGCTCACCTGTCGTGAGCAGTGCCGCGGTCGATGTGGGGGGGCTTTGAGTTGGTGTTTTGCATTTTGGGATAAATCCCGAAGCGGGATCACTGGGCGTGGCTTGGTTTCTCATTGGTTGAGGCTCCTCCGTGTTCAGGCGGGAATATTTCAAGTAGGCAGCCCGGCGGAAATGGAGGTTTCAGGCAAGCTGGGAAGGCGCTGAGCAGGCTTGGCACATGGATTCCGTGAAGGCGGAGAGCGGAGAGTCGGGCTTGGCCCGTGGCTGGGCTCCGCCGCTGCCGTGGACAAGCCTCTGCCGGCTGTGTGGACGCTGAGCGTGGCTGCGTGCCGATGAGGCTTTATTTGCACACGCTGGAAACGGCGTGGCGTATTAATTTTGTGGGTCACAAAGCAGGACTGTGGATTTTGTTTCCAGCCCTTTAAAAACGTCAAAACCATGGCTTTGCACAGGCCTTGAGGAGGCCGCAGCGGCGGGGAGTCATCCTGCGGGGCTGCTGATGGCTCGTCCCGACCTAGTGTCATTTCTGCCGCTTCTTCCTGGCACCTTTTTGGCAGGACAGCGTCTGGGGGTGCGGCTAGGGAGCCCCATGGTGTGGTCGAGACAGAACCCCTGTCTTGGGTAGTTCACGCAGGTGCTCGGGACCCGAGCCTCTCGGGCGTTTGAGGGCTTCCCGCCACGGACTGGGCATCTCTGGACCTGAGGATTGGCCCCAGCACAGTCAGTCCTGTCCCAGAAGACATTCGGCCACATCAGGGGGCTCCCCAGGGAGGGCTGCGCGGGGGAGGAGCGGTGCCAAGACCCGCCCTCCTGAGACTTCAGGGTCTCCCTCCATCAGGAGGGGCCGTTGTGCATTTAAGCAGGAGCATCGCCGGGTGTGGGGACACTGAGGGTTATGTGAGACCCCCTTGGAGGCGGAGGCCAAACCACAGGGTTCCTCTGTCAGGACTCCAGAGACGTCTGCTGTGACTGGACGACCTCCCTAGGTCCCCCCACCCTTGGAGGTGACCAGACACCTTTCCAGTCACACTGGCACCTGCCGCTGATAGCTCCAGGGCTGGCTGGAGGCCCAGACAGCTAGTAATGGACCCAGAGGGCAGCCTACAGGAAGGGCCTCTGTGGCCTCCCCAGGGGAGGCTTCTCCCGCCTCTCCATCCCTGCAGCTCATTTCCCACTTGGAGCGCTGAGTCGCTCGCCCGCTGATTATTTCCGAAGGCGCTGCCAGCTCTGAATTACACGCTAATGAACGTGCAGACAGTTCGCAGGAGGAAATCTGGAAAATACAGAACGGCACACGAACGCGAGTCTAAGTGCCACATAAGAGCCCCCCAGAGAGGCATGAGTGTGTTTGGGGGCACCTTCCATCCCCCCCACCCCCACGTAAAACAAAATTTGCCCTCAAGCATATCTACGCGGAGAGCCGCTTCCCACAGCGTTAGCGCGTGGCCGCCCGTCACCAGGCCGTCTTCTAAGGGCCGCTGCGGTTTCACTGCACGTGTGAACGCTGGCGGCTCCTCACAGCAGTGCCGGGGGTCTGTTGGTGAACAGGAGCCGCTGGCGTGCGCGTCAGTGCACACAGCCGCGACACGAGGGAGAGTCTGGTCTCGACGGGGAGGCTGTGAGTGCAAAGAGACACGCGTGTCTGGCTGTAAACGTGGACTCTGGTGGCTGCTGCGGGGTCTGCGGGAGAGCCGCACGCCCGGGCACCCCCACATCCTCACGCCCGTCTGCCCGGCCTTGGCGGCGGCGGGACGCTACTCCCGCGTCCTGGCCGTGATGGACACCAGCCCCGAGGCCCCAGCCTGCTCCAGAAGGGGTGGGTCGGCGCACAAGCTGGTGGCCACGGCCGGGAAGGGGCACACGGGGCCCTCTAACCCCGGGAAGCCGAGGGCTCCTGGAGTGTCTGACGCCCTTTCACCCTGGGGCGGTCAGTGAGGACGTGAGAGCTGACATGAGCCTGCCCCCTCCCTGGGCTGGTGCCCTGCGGGCGAGCAGCATCCCTCAGGCTCCAGGGGTTAGCTCAGGCTGGGCTGGGCATCCCCAGGGGAGCAGTTCTCCGTAAGAGGTGCCGGTGAGGACTTCACAGGTGCGCCCAGTGAGGTGGCACCTGGTGGCCTTGGTGACGCAGACGTCTGGGGGCGGCTTGAGGACCTGGTCTCACTCTCGTGGGCGCGTCTGGCTCTGCTGCGGCGGAGGGGCCTGAGGGCGGCCGGTCCCTCCTTGTGCCTCTGGCCGTGGACTCCAGGACCGTGGCCTGAGGGTTCAGCCAGCGCATGGATCGTCCGTGGTGCCATACACGGTGCTGGCCGGTGGTTGGCTGTGTGTGAGCAGTTCCCAAGGAATGGCACCGCGCCATCCCCGCCGTGGGCTGGACGTCTCTCTTCTGGGGCACGAAGCCCTGGCTCACGCGTCCCGGGGCGGAAATCGGGGAAGGACTGGATAGGACGTGGCTGTGCCCGAGCAGGCCCAGCCAGGAGCGCCCAGCCAGCTCCTGCTCACAAACCCACGGTCAAGGTCCAGAATTTTCTCCCAACACCTGTGCATCGTGGGTCTTGGCAACCAGCCGGGTGACTCTGTCCAGCGAGATGGGTAGATTCGGGGGAGTTTGTCTGAATCAGCTCTCGCCCCGGGGCTGTTGCGTGGGGCAACGTTTCCGGGCGAGCTCCCCCAGGCTTTGTAGCCTCACGAGTGGAGATCGCCTCGGACTCGGCCTGCAGGCTTCCTCCAAGCGCTCCCGTCGCCCCTAATATTTGGGAGGGTTTTGTCCGCCTGCCGCGGGGTGTGCTGGCGGGACGCACGCATGCTTTTCGTGGACTCAGAACCCAGCTTGAGCTTTTCGCCGCCTGTGGCCCCCGAGTCTGCCTTCTGGGTGTCGTCTGCAGCTTAAGAACTTGCGGGGTGGGGGTGGGAGCGTGCTCCCGGGCGTGCGTCTACACGCCGAGGGCGAGTCCCCGCGGCGTCCTCACACCCTGTGGTCGGGCCGGGCGTCAAGCCTCCCCATCGGGTATTTTTCTCCCGTTTGTTTCTAAAAGAACGTGGCGGCGTGGAGAGACTGTCGGGCAGCGTCTCAAAACTCTTTGCACTTTCTCCTCTCGCCTTTCCGACAGAGGGTGGCTGCTGCTTCGTCAGGACCTCATCGCCGGAGGTGAGGGTAAGATGAGCATCACCAGTGACGAGGTGAACTTTCTGGTGTATCGTTACCTCCAGGAGTCAGGTAAGGGCGCTGCTCGCCGGCGGGACACTCGCCTCCGCCGTGGGGGCCGAGGAGGCCTCTGTCACCCCCAAGGTCTGGGCCCCACCGCACGCTGGGGAGGCCGACCCCCGAGCCCTGGGCCTCGCTGCACTCTGTGGACGCTGCCCTGGCACCCCCAGGGCAGACCAGACAGTCAGGGGATGCTCGTGGTGCCGTGAAGCAGTCTTGGCGCTTCTTAGCCGTTAAGATCGGCCTTTTCAGCCGCTGGCTTGCTCCTCTGGCTCTGTACGTGGCTCCAGGGTCACCTGCTGATTCTCTTCAGTCCTGACTGAAGAGATGGTCTGAAATTCGTGCGGTTTTCCTGTGACGGTCTCCTGGGGGACTTCGCTCTTGTGTTGGTTTTCTCCGTACAGGGAGCCCGTGTGGGCGAGACTCTCTCTGCATCTTGCAAGGATCCACACGCTGGCTGGCGCGTAGGGCCGCCCGGGACTCGGCTGTCCGGCTCCGCGGGGGCCACGCCATCATTTCCCCAGCCCGGGGCACGGGGGATCCCTGATGCTCTTTCCCTCGGTCTCGAGGGCAAAACTTTTTCTAATAATTGAAAGACATTGTCGAGACGCTGCTGGCGTGCGGCACGGCATGGGACGCTTGGAACAGATGAGAACAGCGAACTCTGTCATTAATGGGGCTTTCAAAAATGTGACAGAGTGCTGCTCTTGCTCAGGATTTCATTGTCTTAAAGTATGTTATCTTGTTGCATTAATCTGCTCTCCCACTATCTCTTTCCCTCCCCTTCCCTCAGAACGTCAGAGTGTTTTGGTTTTTGAAAGTGCTTTTGTTACCAAATTGTCTGCTACGGAAATGCCCAACGTTTGCTTTTAATCCTTCTGACTTGGCTGGCTGACTTTGGGGTACATAATCATCTCAGATCCCTCCATTTTGTTGAAAATGGCAGCATTTCGTCCTTGTTAGTGACTGCATAGTACTCCACGCCGTGCACATACCACATCTTCTTGATCTGGCTGCTCACTGACAGGCATTGAGGCTGCTTCCGCGTCCCCGCTACCGTAGACCGTAGAACACACAAGGTTTTGCGTTAATGGCTTTGTGTTCTGTGGTTAGATGCCCAGAGGGAGTGCTGGGTCAGACGGTATTCCCATTTTTAGATTTTTGAGGTAAATCCCGATTGCTTTCCATAAAGGTTGCCCTGGTTGCTTTCCCACCAACGGTGTAATGGGGTCCTTTTTCTCCACGTCCTCCCCAGCACTTGTTTTGGGGGATTCTTTTAATACGTGACATTTTCACAGGTGCATTTTAATTGTCGAATTGAAAGAGTTTTTTACTCTGTGTGGATTATTAATCCCTTGTCAGTTGTGTGTTGTGTGAGTGTTTTCTCCCGCTCAGTACCGCGTCTGTTCAATCACCTTGTATTTCCTTTCGCTGGGCAGCTTTTGACTTGAGGTCATCCCGATTGTTTGTTTTTATTTCTCTTGCCATAGGGGTCGAGTTACCAAAAATACCTTTGTTGTTGATATTTAGAACACATCGCCAGCGTTTTCCTCTGGGTGTTTCATTGCTGCACGTTTTATATCTGAATCTGGAATCCATTTGGAATTACTGTGGGTGGGTGGAGTCCGTGATCCAGCTTCCATCCCGCGCGCGTGTGGCTTTCCCATGTGCCCAGCACCGGTTGTGAAAGAGGCTCTTTTCCCATTTTGTGGTCTTGGCTGCCTCGTCGTGGATTAGGTGCTGCTGTGCATGTGGCTTCATTTCTGGGCTTCTGATTCTCCGCCTTTGGTCCACGTGTCTGTTTTTGTGCCACGGCCGTGTAGTTTCCGGGGCTGCTGCTGTGTGGGGAAGGCTGAGGGCCGGGTAGCAGACCACCTCCACGTCTCGCCTTTCGCCCGAGGGTTGACTCTGCAGTTTGAGGCCTTTCGTGCTTCTGTATAACCTTGGTATGTTCTTCAGTTTCTTTGAAAACCTCTGCTGGTGTTTTGATGGATATTGCGTTCAGTTTGGTTATCATTTTCAGCGGGATCTTCGTCGTTTTGATTCTGTTGATTCTCCCATATGGTCAAGCAGGGGATGTCCTCCCTATGCCACCGGGGGTCCTTTAATGACATCTATTGATTTTAGATGAAGTTCCTACCCAGTAGATCTTTTTAGTCTTTCATTAGGTTGATTCCTGATGCAATTACAAGTGGGGTTATTGTTTCCATTTCTTCTGCTTTTTGCTTGTTCTAGTGTAAGATGGCTGGGGGATTTTGCATGTTATTTTGTGACCTGTTTCATTCATTTTTTATTTCTAGTATGGTTTTTGACGGGGTCTGTAGGATCTTCTATCTGTGCTATTTTGACTGCCAGTAGCGATAGTTTCACTTCTTTTACTGTTTGGAGTCCCTTTGTGTCCTGTGTGCGGCTGATAGCTCTGGCCAAAACTCAAGTGCCAAGTGAAACACGAGGGGCGGCAAGGGGCCGCCTCCTCTTGTGCCGGATCTTCGGGGGAAGCTCTCGGCCTTTGACGCTGGGTATTCTATTTATTGGCTGTTGGTTCGCGATGTGCAGCCTTTATTACATCGCAACAGGTTCCTTCTGTCCCCATCTTGTTTCGAGTTTATCACAAATGGTGCTGAATCTTGTCGAGTGCTTCCCCTGCCTCTGATGTTGCCTAACTTTCGTCGTGTTGATGTGAGTTAGCACACTGACTGGCTTCATGCACAGTGAGCCATTCTGGCATGCCCGGGACGAATCCCATTTGAGCGTGGTGTAAAACACTTGTAGTAAAATGCTCATTTCACTTTGTTACGGCATCATAAAATGCATTGAGGCGCTTCCCTTCCTGCATTTTCTTCCGAAGATTGATTTATTTATATACACAAGATCTAGGGTACAGCGAGCCAGGCGGGCAGTGGTTTTCTCTAAAAGTTTGATAACATTCGTGTGTAAAGGCTTCTGCTCCTGGGCTCTTGTCTTTGGGAAATTTTCGTCACCATTTCTGTTTCCGTGTCTGAGGCTCCGGCTGAGGCTGGTGGTACATGGCGGACTCTCTGTGTGACCCTCTGGAGGGTCTGGTCTCCGCTCTTTTTGTAGGGACACGGTCCGTGTTGGGTCTGGGGCTCAGCAAACTCCACCATGTCCTCGACTGATTACATATGTGGTGACCCTGTTTCCAGTTAAGTCACATTCTGAGGTGTGCTGGGCGTTGGGCTTCACCTTGAGCGTTTGGGGGAGACAGTCCAAGCTGGAACGGTTGGTTCGTGTGTGTTTAAGCATCGCACACGTGATCGGACATCACACGTGTTGTTCAAATTGATACTTCAAGACGGAATCCAGGCCCCCACCTCCCAAAGGTGCTAGGATGGGGAACCAGCTGTGAGCCCCCGAATCTGGACGCTCTCAGAGCAGCTGGGAAGGGGCGAAGGTCGGGTATTGCAGGCGACCCCCGGACTCTGGTCCTGAGCAGGTTATTTGCCCCACGAGCCTCGTCTTTTGCTGCGTGGTGTTCTCTCCCACCAGCACCCCAGTCGCCATGCCCTAGAAGCTCTGTCTACATTAGATCCTGTGGATTAGCTGTCGCCAGAACAAGCCAGAGAAAAATGGATACACCATGCCCTGCCTCACCGCTGTAAACCCGAGAAACAGCAGTGATGTTCTCGTACCTGCACCCAGCGCCTGGGGAGCCGCTTGCCCAGAGCACAGGTGTCCCCCTGACCTGTCACAGAACAGGTAGATTCCTGGAGATGTTTGCACATGAGAGGGCCCGTGTTCCAGGCTCCGCTCTCCGCGGACCTCAGCCTGGTGGTTGGGGTGCTTCTCGGCGGTTGGGGTGCTTCCGGTTCAGAGACAACTGCATACAGAGCCAGGTGCAGGCCAAGTGAGGAACCATCTCCAGCTGAGCTGGCCGCCCCCCCAGTGTTTCTGGGGATAAATAAAGGTTTCTGTGTGAGGGGAAGGGTGGGAGCACCCCTGGGGCCCTGGGCTTATTGAATAAACACAGAAATCGCTTCCCCCCCCAGAAAGACGCAGCTCCTTATTCAGTGTTTGTTTATACTCGTCTCCCTGCGTCTGATCGGGTTTCCGTAGCCAGGCAACCGAGCCGGGCGCTGGGGAAGAGCAAGGTGTAGAATTCCAGCGGTGTGGACTCGGATTTTACGTAGCATCTACACTGCGTGTCCAACGAGGTCACTGCTGGTGCCCCCGCAGGACGTACAGGAGGAGGGAGGAGAAATGTGCAGCAGGCGTTCGTCTGTGATGGTGAAAACTTCCCCAGTGCCCTTCTGTGGGAGTCGGCGCCCCTGTGGTCTGTCTGCGCCCCAAGTCCCGCTCAGCGGGGACAGGAGGGAGCTCGCGGGGTGCCTGAGCGCCGGGAGAGATGCGGCATGGACCCGGGGAGGCGGCCGGGACGTGTTGATGAGATTGGGCAGCTCGCGCGCCATCTGGTGGGCCTTGGTTTCGATGGGGGCGTTGTTTTGTTGAAGGGGCTTGAGTTCCAGTCATACTGTACTGACCCAGAAGTGGGGGCCACACCAGCTGCCGGGGCTTAGGACACCAGTGGGGCATCCTGCCACCTGCCTCAGTGAGTCTGAAATGTTTCCGAAGCATCCCTTATGACGGGGCTTGAAGGATTCCGTGGCAAGGGGGGCTGCCCCTAGGATGCCGGCTGGCTGAACGCCTGGACTCAGAACCAGTGCCCGACTCGATGTTCTGCTTGGGTTTTTGACGGTGCCGGGCTTGGGGCTTGGCCGGAGGTCAACCTGAGAGGCGGGCACAGCCGAGGACCCTTCACCCCTGGGCATGTTCTGAGCGTCTGTGGCGTCTTGCAAGCGGCTCCACCCTCTTAGTAAGACGGGCCGGTGAACCACGACTCGGGAAGTGGCTGGGGCGCTGAGCTGTCCGGCAGAAGCAGCCGTTCGGGCTTATTGTTCAGCCGAGTGTCTAAAATGCACTTGGGCTGCCGTGGCTCTCTGCGCTGCCCGTCCATGCCGCCGTTTGACAGCAGCTTTGAGAGCTAACAGCGGCCGCGTGCTTGGGCGTGGCGCTGCCGGTGCTCGAGAACCGGCATGAAAAGGAGAGTAACGTCGCGTCGTGGCTGAGGCGGGCCTGGGTGGCCTGTGCACGTCGCTGGAGAGCGAGGCTGACATCTGCTGAAGAGCGTTGCGCCAGGGGTGCATTTGCGGAGACAGGACGGGGGCCCCCAAAACCCCCATCGGGTGATTTGCTACAAGAGTCACAGCTCCCATCAGAGGTCGGCAGAACCCCCGGATTGCAAGGTCCGGCGCGGGGGCTGCAGTGAACGGTCACGGTTTGTGGTCTTGAGGTTGCTCAGCCAGGAGGTGGCGAAAGTTCTCCACGCACAGGAGAGCCAGGAGCCAGGCGCCAGAGACTCCCGCGCACCTGCGGGCGTGATGCAACGTGCGTGCGCACACGGGCGTGCACGGTCAGGCTGTGTGTCTGGAACTTGCACAGGGCACACAGCAGGTACAGCTCAGCACAGCTGTGGGGGGAGGGGGAACCCGTAAAAATCGGCAGAGGACAGCTGCCCCGTGCCCGGTCCAGGAGAAACCAGGGTCCCCTCCCCAGGCCAGACGCTGCGGGGGAGCCCTGTTTCTCTGGGGCCCCGCCCTGCTCTTCCTCCGGGTGTGCCCAGCAGCTCCCTCCGAGCTCAGTCCCTCGGCCCAGCAGGCCTGGGGGTCCCCCACCCGGCTTCTGCAGTGAGCTGTGGACAGTGCGCTGGGCGGGGAGGGCCAGAATGTTGATGGGGGCCCGGGGTCACGCCGCCTCTTCCCTTCTGGAGGCCCCTCGCTTCCTCAGTCGCTCACCCGGTCCCCCTTTGCGCGGCCCGGAGGGGTCAGCCTCGTCCCTGGCCCCCACGCCGGAGGCCGCGTGTGCTGACGGGAGCGGTGGGTGCTGGGGCGCTGCTGACGGGCGATTTCCTGCCTCTTCTCCTGGGGATGCTGTTGGGGATAAATCTGGGGCGTGTGTGCCATGGGGTTGGGAGGTGGCTCTCGGGTCAGCCGCTGGGCCCCCAGGGCGTCGCTGGCTTGCTTCGTGACTCGGTTTCCCCGGTAGTGACGGGTCAGCTCTGGCTTGTCCGTGGCGGGGCCGGCTCACGCCTGGTGTGGCGGCCGCACGGTGAGGATTTCCCGCAACGCGGCGCCTTCCGTGTGGCCCGGGGACACGGGCCTGCGCGACGGTCGCGCTTCCCCAAGCTCTGCGGCCCTGCAGCCGCCGTGTTCTCGCCCACTTCCCCTCGGTCCCCCGTCACCGCCCCGTCCCAGTTCCCAGTGACCCGTGGGCCACCTCCCTGGGGCTCTGCCCGGCTCGTGTATCGCGTGAGGACCCCAGTCTTTCAGCTTGGCCCCCCAAAGCATGGTCCTTGTTTGAAACCCGGTTTATGGTGCTTGTCACCCCTCTCTCCCCGGAGTCTTTTCCTCTCAACTGATTTAGAGTCCGGATCCCAGCCCAGCCCTGTGGCGGGGGCTTGGGCCTGTGGGCACCTCCCAGAGGAGCAGGGGGACATGTGTGGGGCCGGGGAGGCTCAGGGAAGTCCTTGCAGCACAGCCAGAGGGAGGGTACGGCCTGGAGAAGGTGGCTCGGCCTCAAGGGCCTTTGCCCGTGTCCCTCCAAGCCCGGACGGTGGCCTCTGGGGCTCGTAGGCAACTAGTTAGGCCCACGTGGGTCTGTGAAGCCTCGGCGAGGCCGGCTGGCTCTAAGCTGCCCCGCGCGGGCCTGTGGCTGGCTGCTCTGAGGTCTCCGCGCGGAGCGGACCACGCTCTGTGCTTCTGCCCGGTCCCGGGGCCTTTCACGGAGGGACGCTGCCCCCTGCTGGCCGCCGCGCCCACTGCGGCTGCCCGTCTTGGGTCCCTGCCAGGCGCAGCCGTGTGGGGTCGAGCCCCGTGCAGCCCCGCACACCGGGGAGTCTGCAGTGGGTGCTTCTTGCAGAGGAGGTGCCTTAGGGCTGGGCTCACCGGGACCCCCCAGGCGAGGGACTAAAGAGCAGGAGGGAGATTCGTTCCCATTCCACACCGTAGACTCCTTCCACCGCACCCCGCCTGCCAGAGAGCCAGGCACGGGGGTCCTGGTTACCCCCAGGGCCCCTCAGCCCGACCCTGAGGAGTCCCTGCTCCGGTGCACCCCGGGCAAGCCCAGAACCAGGCAGGGGGACACTGAGCCTCCGGGCTGGGCTGGCAGTGGGTGACCCTCAGAGGCTCCTGTCACACTGGGACCCCCTGGGGACCCCCAGTGCCCCCGGCCCAGCTCTGTCGCCTTTTCTGCAAACATGTTTTCTTTCCGCCTGAACCACCTCTTCTCCCTCCATCCAACCTGCCGCAGGGCCCCTTTCAGTCACGGTCCCGGTCACCAGCTTCTGAGGCGGGGGAGGCAGGGAGACGCCAGCGTCTCTTAGGAAAAGGCCCGTTTTCTCTGTGAAGGGGGTGGGTGGGTCCAGAACAGCCTCTTGCTTCCACTGCTGTGCTTGTCTGTCGCCCCCGGGGGAAGAGGCTTCTGCAGGGACCGATAGGAACCCAGGCCCAGCAGGGCACCAGGTCCGTAACAGGCGGTGCTGCGACGGTGCCGCCTCGAGAGCCGTCTGCGCCCGTGCGGACTTGGGTTGGCCTCGTCTGTCTCAGGGCCTGGCCCCCGGGGCTCTCACGCGCCCCCTGGACTTCCCTCCTTGCTCAGGTTTCTCCCACTCGGCCTTCACGTTCGGGATCGAGAGCCACATCAGCCAGTCCAACATCAACGGGACGCTGGTGCCGCCCGCCGCGCTCATCTCTATCCTGCAGAAGGGGCTGCAGTATGTGGAGGCTGAGATCAGCATCAACGAGGTGGGGCCCAGCTCAGCAATCCCCCCTGCCTTTGCCCTTCCTGGACACAGGGCCTGTTTTGCCCGCAGGTCCCCACCCCAGGGGAGGTGCAGTCCCACCTGGCTCATGGCCTGCAGAGCCAGGGTGTGGGGAGAGGGGCCGCGCCCCCCAGGGGCCCCGCCAGCTGCAGACCCTACGGAGCCTGGCTTCCATGCACGCCCCGTGTGGCTTTCTAGTGTGGCTGACCGCAGATCTCCGGGGAGGCATCCCCCCCCAGACACGTCCTGGTTCCTGGCGTCATTCAGGGAGCCCAGCGTGTCCGCGCCCCTCTAAGTCAGGGGTCGGCTCGTGTGCCCCTAACGCCTGGGTTGAGCTGGCTGGGGTTCCGGGGTCCCCTGAGGTTCCTGCACAGCTGACGCCGCCCCTCCCCCAGGACGGCACGGTGTTCGACGGCCGCCCCATAGAGTCCCTGTCACTGATCGATGCTGTGATGCCCGACGTGGTGCAGACGCGGCAGCAGGCCTTCCGGGAGAAGCTGGCCCAGCAGCAGGCCGCGGCGGCCGCAGCAGTAGCAGCCACAGCGGCCGCGGCCACCCCAGCAGCTGTTTCCCAGCAGAACCCACCAAAGAACGGAGAGGCCACCGTGAACGGGGAGGAGAACGGAGCCCACGCCATGAGTGAGTGCGGCCACGGCCCCGTGGGCGTCGGCTGGTGCCCGGCCCGGGACGACAGCAGAGAAGCGTCCATGTCCCTCGGTCGGGGCCCCTGGGAGGGCGGGGAATGCGGCAGCTGCTGTCCTTCGGGCCCAGAGGGGCCTCTTGCCTCTCCTGCTCCTCAGCTCCGCCTCCTCCCGACAGATAATCACTCGAAGCCGATGGAGATCGACGGGGACGTTGAGATCCCGGCCAGCAAGGCCACGGTCCTGCGCGGGCACGAGTCCGAGGTCTTCATTTGTGCCTGGAACCCCATCAGCGACCTGCTTGCTTCGGGGTAAGGCAGGAGGGCCGGGGCCGTGACCCTCACCCCAGCCTGGGGGGCGCCTTGTCCCCTCCTGGGTGGGTGGGCGGCCCCCGGGCTGCCGGGACTGACCGCCGATTGCGGCTCCCCCCGCAGGTCCGGGGACTCGACGGCCAGGATCTGGAACCTCAACGAGAACAGCAGCGGGGACTCGAGCCAGCTGGTGCTGCGGCACTGCATCCGGGAGGGCGGCCACGACGTGCCCAGCAACAAGGACGTCACCTCGCTGGACTGGAACGTAAGTGCGGCCCCCCCCCCCCCACCACGGTGGTCGGTGGCACCTGCTTGTGACCCTGCGGGCTCCGGGCAGCCCAAGGAGGGGGTGCCGCGCCTGAGCCGCTTTCTGTCCCTCCTGCTGCAGAGCGACGGGACGCTGCTGGCCACGGGCTCCTACGACGGCTTCGCGAGGATATGGACGGAGGACGGTAGGTGTGCCCCGGGCCGGGGGGAGGCGGCGCGCGGGCCTGGGCACCAACGCGTGCCGTTGCTCTTCCCCAGGCAACCTGGCCAGCACCTTAGGCCAGCATAAAGGGCCCATCTTTGCCTTGAAGTGGAATAAGAAGGGGAATTACATTCTGAGCGCCGGTGTAGACAAAGTGAGTATTGGCTTAAAATCCCCGCCGTGGTCTCCAGACGGCGCCTCTTTCGTCCCCACATGAATCCGTGGCGGCTTCGCGTTCCGGGAGATGTCAAAGGGGGGTTTGGGCCCCGTTTGCGTTCCTGGTTTGGATGCCGCGAGCGCACAGCAGCTCGCGCTGGGTGGTGCCAAGCTTCCCCCCTCCCCTGAGGCCGAGCGTTCCGCGGGAAGAGGCATCTCCAAGCGCGGGGAGGTGCTCGGCGGGACTCTCACCCGCGGGAGGGAGACGAGATCCTTGGCATCCTTGGCTAACATCCCGCCGGCGCTGGCCTGGGAGTCGGTGCCCGCGGCCCGCGCGCGGCGACTGACTCCCCTTTCTGCTTGTGGAGCGCAGACGACCATCATCTGGGACGCCCACACCGGGGAGGCCAAGCAGCAGTTTCCTTTCCATTCCGGTGAGCATCTTGACTTTTCTCCTGGTAGCGAGACGAGACCCAGAAGCCCGGGAAACACTTCCCAGCGTCGCCGGAAAGGCGGCCCTGGGCGCGAGAGGGCAGCCCAGCGCACGCGGCCCTCGCTCCAGATTTGCAAAATCTGGCTTCGCTCGGACCTTACCTTCCGCAGCAAGGCCGGGAGCCAGCCACAGGGCCGGGGGCGCCTTCCCCCAAGAGGGCGGCGGTGGGGGCGTGACCCAGGTGACACGGTTCTCGGCGGTCAGAGCGAAGGGTTGTGCCTCTCACGTCTCTGTCGATGGCGGGGAAGACACGGCGTCGCTTTGAAGCCGTCCGCAGCGTGGGGGTCCCTTGGCAGAAAAGGTGGGGTCCTTGCCGCCCCGCACCCGCGCCAGTCTCCTGAAAGGGGCCAGGTGGAAGCAGGTGGGAGGCGGGACGGGGTGGCGGCTGAGCTGGCGGAGTCACCAGGGGCGCGGCCTACAGGCAGTGAGTGAGTGTTGGGCGAGCACAGGGCCTGGGGTGAGCGTGGGGAGCAGCTCTCCCACTGGGGTGGCTCCCCAGGCTGTGGGACTCGGGGACACGTGCTGGTGCAGAGCGGCCACCCCCGCGCAGCCCCTGACCGCCGCCGCCCGCTCTCCCCCCAGCGCCCGCGCTCGACGTGGACTGGCAGAACAACACTACCTTCGCCTCCTGCAGCACGGACATGTGCATCCACGTGTGCAGGCTGGGCTGCGACCGCCCCGTCAAGACCTTCCAGGGACACACGGTAAGTGCGGCCGTTGGGGCTGGGTGGCTGCATCCTGCGGCGGGATCAGCCCGTCGTGGCCAGAGTAAGAAAAACACGGCTGGGGTGACGGATCGTGCCGCGACTACTGTGAGAAAGCAGATGAGGACAGCAAGGGAAGGGCGACAGCGAGCGAGCAGACGGCTGGACGGGCCTGAGACACCAAGACTTACTGCCTAGCAGGGGTCAGGGGGACGGGAGCCCACGGTGGAGAAGTTCCTGCGTGGCCAGGCTCTCCCACACGTGCTGGGAAACGTCCGCATCCAGTGCAGGGAGCTGCTCTGTCCCGTTTTCCCTCCGAGCCTGGCTACCTCACTCTGGCCGTCCAGTAGCGGCGTGGCCAGTCCATCTGCTCAGTCCCCTCCTGCGAGGCTGCCCAGGGTCTCCGGCCGGCTTCAGCACCCGCCAGCTGCAGGCACACCTGTTCTTGACCCAGTCCCCTCCCGTGGGCACCAAGGGGGTCCCGTGCCAGCTGTCGGCCGCCGCCAGCACCGGTGCGCGTGGCGTGTTGACTTAATGGTCTCGTGTTCTGGGGTCGAGGCCCACGAGGGGTGGCCAAGTCGGGGGGTGTTTCCAGTCTGATTTGAAGGCGAGCGCAGGTCACTCACCGTGGCAGCTCACTCGGCCGCCCTCCCGCGAGGTCTCGGGTCCGAGGGGCCGTCTCCTTCTCGTCCCCAGAAGCCTCTGGCTGTCCCGCTCGGACAGGCTTGAGGGGGCAGCCTGCTGGAAGCCCTTGGAGCCGCCCCAGCCCGGCTCTGTCCCCACCTGACCTGCTCAGCCCTCCGGCCTCCCCCGCAGCAGCGCCGGCACTTCTCTGCTCCCCCCCCCCCGTACTCGCAGCTCCGGGTAGTGGTTGCTGCCCCTTCTCCGTCCACGCTCCCCACCCCCAGACAGCCGTCCACGGGCAGGAAAGTCAGTTTCCAAACCCGTTGTGACCCTCCTGTGGCCTCCAGTGCTGCATTTCCGTGGCAGGGAAACTCATTTCTGCCCTGGGAGAAAGAGCCGGAGGGGAAATAACCAGGCGGCACCTGTTTGCAGCGAGGACGGGGCGCTGCTGCCCCCTGGTGGACGCTGTCCACGGCGGGCGCTGCTGCCCTCCGGTGGCTGCCGTGTGACCGGCAGGCCTCTGCTGCCACCTGGTGGATTCTGTGCCCAACTGCATCCCAACGCTTTCTTCTCCGCAGAACGAGGTGAACGCCATCAAATGGGACCCCTCCGGGATGCTGCTGGCATCCTGCTCGGATGACATGACCTTAAAGGTAGCTGGGCTCAGCGGGCGGGCGGTTCCCTGGTGCTCACGGTCACTGCCCGGACGTGAGCCACCTTCCCGGCCCCGGCAGTCTCCCCATCGCCAGCCCACGGCTGGCTGTATTACCCAGTGGGCAGCCAGGGTCCTGCTGGATCCCTCCCAGGGCTGTTCTCACCGACACCCCCTGGCCGTGACACCCCTGTCCAGCACAGCCTGGCCGGCCAGCCCCCAGCCAGCCGGTGGTGGAGGGGAGCTTGAGGGGCCCCCGGGCGGGGGAGTGAGGCTTGCTCACACTCGCGATGTGTGCCCTAGATCTGGAGTATGAAGCAGGACACGTGTGTGCACGACCTGCAGGCCCACAGCAAGGAGATCTACACCATCAAGTGGGGCCCCAGCGGGCCAGCCACCAGCAACCCCAACTCCAGCATCATGCTCGCCAGGTACAGCCGCCCCGCCTGCCCCCACTCCCAGAGCGGCCGAGCTCCCCAGCCGAGCGCTGCCAGGGCCGGCACGCTCACGTGCAGACGCCGGCTGCTTTGTCCGTGGCTCCGACGCCGCCGGCCTCAGGGTTGAGTGGGTTGTCAGGGGAGCAGGTGTCTGCACGCAGCTGGCAGGAAGGATCTGTGGGGAGTCCGGCTTCGAACACATGACACTGGGAAGGTCTTGCTTGGGCCTTGCTTGGTTTACAAGGCTAACCTGGAGCTCCAGGGGGAGGGTCTGGACTTTGGTCACCCCACACACCTGCTTGGCAGGAGGGGAAACTGCCGGCCAGCCCCGTCCCACTGCTGACGGTCACGCTGGGCGGGTTCTGAGAGTGGACACCAGGCTGCCCAGGGCTCGGAGGCCAGTCCAGGGAACCGTGAGCAGGAGAAGGTGGGGTGTGGGGCTGGAGCCGCTCGGCTGTGAGACCCCACAGAAGCTGGGGAAGGGATGGGAGTGTAAGACCCTTCAGGTCAGTAGAAAATGCAGGTGCTGATCGATCTGACTCCCTAGCCACAGCCAGAGAGGAGCAGAGGGCTGCCGCGGGGGTCCCGCCTTACAGGAGAAGCCCCAGTTCCTCGTCTGGGAGGCTGGGGCGGGCGGCGGCCGTCCCGTGACACCCTCTGTCCGCCTCTGTCCTCCCAGCGCCTCCTTCGACTCAACGGTGCGGCTATGGGACGTGGAACGGGGCGTGTGCACCCACACGCTCACCAAGCACCAGGAGCCCGTGTACAGTGTGGCCTTCAGCCCCGACGGGAAGTACCTGGCCAGCGGCTCCTTCGACAAGTGTGTGCACATCTGGAACACGCAGGTGAATGCAGGGCCCCGGCCCCTGGCGTGGGACAGCGTCCTCTGGGGGGACAGCACTGGCCATCAGAGCAGCCCTGGGAGTATGGGGCACCGTCTGGCTTCAGATCCCCGGCAGCAAGCACATAGTGGGCAGGTGGGCAGTGCAGGGCCAGGAGAGCACGCACAGCTGCCGCCAGGTTCTGGGAAGGAAGGGAGGCTGCAGAGGGGGCTCGAAGCCAACCAGGTCTCAAATTCCCGCAAAGCCCTGACGGGGCGTTCTGGAACCCACCTTCCCCCCGGGGAGCCTGCATCTCGCGGCATCGCTTCATCAGTCCTGGCACGCGTGGGCCAATCTTGGGGGAGCAGGTGGGGACAGCCCGCGCCCCACAGCCATGTGACGGCGGCTTTGCTTTGCAGAGCGGGAGTCTCGTCCACAGCTACCGAGGCACCGGGGGCATCTTCGAGGTGTGCTGGAACGCCCGAGGGGACAAAGTGGGGGCCAGTGCATCCGACGGCTCTGTAAGCAGCTCCTGGGGGCAGGGAGGGAGGGAGGGTACTCCCGTCCTCCGGGGTAGCACCCCCCCAGCATGTGCGTGTCAGGGAAGGGACCAGTCCTCACGTTTCGGGGCCATCCCACTGGCCTTAGCTCCTGTCTGGGATCCATGGTGGTGCCCAGTTTGGTGATACAGGCACAGCTTCCCTCTCCACGCCTGCGTGTCCCATCCGTGAGTGGTCAGCCCGGCCCTGTGCGTCCTGGGCCGTGCAGGAGGAGGGTCCAGCGGTGCCCGGCACCTACCTTTCGCGCGGTCAACCTCCAGCTGACGGAGCCCTCCCCCCCAGGTGTGCGTGTTAGACCTGCGGAAGTAAGGCGGCCAGAGGACCAAGAGCCGGACGGGACCAGCAGCCCACGTGTGCGGCCCCACGCCACCGTCCGCTCCCCCCCGCACCCCCCCGACGCCCCACGTGATCGGAGCGGACTCGATCTGCCCCCGGCCGCGGGAGTCTTACCTTTTCTTGTAACCGTCGTCCAGGGGTTTAGAACGGAAGCATCCAGTCCCATCCGAGGGGGGAGGGCGCTTCCCACCCGGGACCTCCACCGGCACGAAGCCCCATGGCTGGACGGCGCGGGTCGCTCTGCGGACAGGCTCTGACGAGGGGCAGGAGAGCAGGAAGCAAACAGACGCTGTGCCAAAACCAAGGAGACAAATGCTGTGATAAACCAAAGGGGGCTCCCCCTCCGCCACGGGCTCCTCTCCCCCCTCAACTTGGACACCACGGCGGGTCCCGCCCAGGGTGTCCAGAGACGCGCGTGCGCCGCAGCAGGGGGCGGCGGTGTGACCCCACGCCTGTTGTCCAGCATCCTCTCCGCCGCCGGGGGCTTTCTGTCGGCTGCAGTCCTGGGGTCTGAGGTCTTCCGTCTGGGATGGAAACTGGTTTCGAGGTGTTGCTTCTTCCCCTGCCCCGAGCGCCTCCCCCTCCGTCGGGCTTGGGCCCGGGGGCGGCAGCCTGGGGGCCCGACTTGCGTCTCGGCGGGACGCCTCCCGGCCCTCCCGGCCGCGCGGATGCCAGGTCTCGAGGGCGCCGTCGGCGCCTGGAAGTGCTTTAGGTAGGAAGGCGGCGCAGGGGAACTTTTTACAGGAGAAAAAAGAAAAATGACTTATAAGAGAAAGAACCCGGAGTATTTTTGGAAAAAAAAATATTTTTATGTTGAAACAGTTTTAAAATGCTAAAGTGGCCATCAGCGTAGCGCTTCGTGTGACTCGTACCCTAAGCAGATGGCGGGAAGGCAGGGCCGGGCCCCGGGGAGGCTGTGGGGAAGCTGCGGCAAGGCGGGCCCCGCAGGGCTTCTCCGCGGCCAGAGAAGCAGCCGGCGCCCGGGGCGCGGGGGACTGCCCCAGGGGTGCCCCGGGGAGGCTTCCTGGGTGGACCGTCCCCCTTGCTTCTGCCGCCTTCGTTTCTTTCTCTCACAGGAAATTTTTTTTACGGCTGGATCTTTTTACTATTTTTTAAAAAATTAAATTTGCTGTGTCCTCGCACCAGGTGACCCTTCTCAGCGTGTAGATTCGCAGGCACCGGAAGACGGGGCTGCTGTTTCCGCAGGTCAGCGGGCCGCGTCCCAGCTGCCACGTAGCTCGCCGGGGCAGGGAGGGCCTCCCGCAGAGCTGGGCCAGGTGCACAGACCCAAGACGCTCGCGTCTCGCCGTCGCCGGCTGGCTGGGGTGGCGAATCCCTCACGCCCCCCTCTCCCCCGAGACCAAAGCGGGGTCTGGAAACCGGGGGGGGGGGGGGTCTCGTTTTGCTACAAAGAACAAGGTCTGTGGGCCCACCACCCCGAGATGCACCGCATATTTTCTGCCCCAAGAAACAAGCGGGCTCATGCTGCACTTGGGGTGGCGTCAAGATGGCCCCCACTAACTGGGTTGGCTGCTGAGGGAGCCTCAGCCCACGTCCAGCCTGAAGCTGCTGTCAGGAAGGGTCTGGCAGACGATCTTCGATGAAGGCGCAGCCAGGGTGTCACTGAAGGGCTGGCTTCAGCCTTGTCAGTCCGCACCCCAGGGGGCTGCTGGCTGGGGGTAGGGCTGACAGAGCAGACAACGCAGCACCCACATGGGAGACTCACCCTGAAGACGGAACCTGGTCCAGCCGTGGGGAAGAGCGTCCCTGGCCAGGTGGGAGGCCGAGCTGGGGATGCAGCCCACGGATCCTGCAGAGCAAGGCGGGACACGTCCCTGCTGGCCCGCTCGTGCTCTCAGCGGTCAGGAGACACGCTGAAGCCGCAGTGACGACAGGTAACCGGGATCCGGAAAACGCCTGCTCCCTCCTGGAGCGCTCGCAGCTGTGAGGTGACGACTCCCCAGCCGCGCACGGCAGCTCGGCCCCGACGGTCCTGGCGTCTCCGTAAAACACATCACGGAGCCCAGTGATACGCACTTGGTCCAAGTGAAGGGTCTGCTTGTTCCTTCCTGTGTTTCTCTTAACCTTGTGTTCCGCCTGATTTTTAATTTCCCCTCTTAACCGTGTCCCTTTTTAACTTCCCCTCTTAACCCTCGTTGCACCCACAAACGGTCCCCCAGCCGCTCCCTGGTCTTGCCTTCTGCCTTCCGCAGTTTTTATTGTCTGTGTCAGACGTAAGCAGCCAGACGTGGGTCTCCGTCAGCGTCGTCAGAAAGAGCATTCCACCCCGTCCCCTCGCTGTTGCCCTCCACCCCCACCCTCACGCTCCGAGATACAAAGGATCACCTCGTGTGTCGTAGCTCATTTGTTTGGAGAGAATCAACAAATCATATTCAATGTCTGGAATAAATTGCTCTATTTTGATATGACAAAACCCGGTGCGTCTGCTTTCTTCCCTGCTCGGTCTGGAGACGGGGCTGCTGGTGCCGCTGCTGCTGCTAAGGAGAAAAAGGACACGGTGAGTCTTCGTAGGGCTTGGGGGTTGACTTGGGGAAGGGGCCTGATAGGGGCGTGGGGGGACAGTGGCCTACGCTGGTCGCAGCAGATGCCTGGATGAAAGGGGGGTGTTTCTGAGTGGCTGCCATGGGTTGTACTCGGTCTGTTTTTGCAGAGATGAAGTGCGTCTCCCCACCACGGGTGGGTGGGTTGGGAGTCGGGGCGGCATCATGACTCACTGTCGTCAGACCCCATGGGTGACGGTGATGTGATGACACGGGCACCTGGCAGGTGGTGTCCACGTCAGCTTGGTGCCTGGGCGCACGGGTGGCTGTCGGGTCCTTCTCTTCAAGGCAGTGATGCTGCGTTCTGTATCGCCCCAAAGCTAAGGGGAAAATGAGTTTTACAGAAGCATTGTGTGGAATGATACACGCGACCCGACCCACGTCTCATTTTTACGTAGCCCAGGCCAGCCGGCCAGGCGTCTCAACATGGAGCCGAGTTCCCACACCTTCTTACACACCACCATCATCACCTCCATCACCACCTCCATCGTCATCACTGTCACCACCTCCCTCATCACCTCCGTCACCACCTCCATCACCACCATGACCATTCAAGGGCTGTGAAGCACATGCACCGATGGGGAGACCGGGGGTGGGGGGGGGGCGGTGCAGGAGACTGGTCACCGCGTACGGGGCGGAAAGACACAGAGAAATGGAATATCGTGCAAAAATGAAAATGCACACGGGGTAGGGTCCTGGGTAAGGCGGGCAATGAGGGAAGAGGATTGCAAGAACAGGAGCCAGCCGACCACGGAACCGTGCCGACACAGTATTTGTGGGGCCCCAGAAAGAGGGGAGAGGCGGGACGGAGGGGACCAGGTGTGATGGGCGGGATGGGAAGTAATGGAGTCGGGGGTTGTGGGAGCAAAACCATGACGGCGGAGACAACATGGGAGAAGGCCTCAAGGGGAAGACTAGAAAGGTCAGGCTGGAAGGAACAGGTTTCAGAAGGAAAGGCATCCCAGGGGAGAGGGATTTGTTATGCGAGGAGCAAGGGAGTCTGTGTTACCAAGGCAACGTGGGGAAGCAAGGGATCATGGGAGAAGGCATGCAAGAAGCAAGGGATCAAGGGAGGAGCAAGGACTCATGGGAGAAGGAAGGCATCACGGGAGGATCACGGGACAAGGAAGGCATGGGAGGAGCAAGGCATCACGGGAGAAGGAAGGCCTCATGGGAGGAGCAAGGGCTTACGGGAGAAGTAAAGGATCATGGGAGAAGTAAGGCCTCATCAGAGAAGCAAGGGCTCAAGGGAGAAGTAAAATAAGGGGAGAAGAAAGCATCACTGGAGGAGCAAGGGCTCATGGGAGAAGGAAGGAAAGGATCATGGGAGAAGGCATCACGGGAGAAGACAGGCATCATGGAAGGAGCAAGGGATCACAGGAGCAGCAAGGACTTATGGGAGGAGTAAAGGCTCATGGGAGAAGCAAGGGATCACGGGAGGAGCAAGGGATCGCGGGAGGAGTAAAGGATCATGGGAGGAGCAAGGGATTATGGGGGGAGTAAAGGCTCATGGGAGAAGTAAGGCATCACGGGAGAAGCAAGGGATCCCGGGAGAAGTAAAGGCTCACGGGACAAGGAAGGCATCATGGGAGGAGCAAGGGATCACAGGAGCAGCAAGGACTTATGGGAGGAGTAAAGGCTCATGGGAGGAGCAAGGCATCACGGGAGAAGCAAGGGATCATGGGAGAAATAAAGGTTCACGGGAGGAGCAAGGGATTATGGGGGGAGTAAAGGCTCACGGGACAAGGAAGGCATCATGGGAGGAGCAAGGGATCACTGGAGAAGTAAAGGATCACGGGAGAATGAAAGCATCATGGGAGGAGCAAGGAGCAAGGGATCACGGGAGAAGGAAGGCCTCGCGGGAGGAGCAAGGGATCATGGGAGAAGGCATCACGGGAGAAGTAAAGGATCACGGGAGAAGGAAGGCATTACGGGCGGAGCAAGGGCTCACGGGAGCAGCAAGGGATTATGGGAGGAGTAAAGGCTCATGGGAGAAGTAAGGGATCGCAGGAGAAGTAAAGGATCACGGGAGAAGGAAGGCATCACTGGATGAGCAAGGGTTCACGGGAGAAGGAAGGCATCAAGGGAGGAACAAGGGCTCACGGGAGGAGCAAGGGATCACGGGAGGAGTAAAGGCTCACGGGAGAAGTAAGGGATCATGGGAGAAGAAAGGCACCATGGGAGAAGCATGGACGGTCCTAACACAGGTATCTTGGGAGAAAACAGGACTTGGCAAAAGCGGCATCAAGGAGAGCCATGGAATAATGGAGAACAAAGGCATCATGGGAGGCGAAGACTGTGGGATAAGGAGACATCGTGGAGGGACAGATCTCATGAGAACAGGACACCATGCAAGAAGCAAGCGTTGCAGTAAAAAAGCCGCTATGGGCGTGATAGGGACAATACTCGCTTGGGAAAGAAAGATGAGAACGCAGGCCGGGTACAGTGGGGGCAGCAAGTGCTTATGGGAACAAAAGTGTGATGGGCAAACACGGAGGCATCATGGGAAAAGTGGGGAAGGTAGTAAACACGAGGCGATGGCGATGTGGGTTTGAGGGAAACGCGCATCATGGGAATGACTTGGAACTGCGGGACAGAAGGTGGCCCGGGAGAAGCGGGGAATGACAACGCCATGGGCTGACCGCAAGGCAGACTGGGCACTGTGGGCTGAGGGAGGCACCACGAAGGAGCAGGGCATTGTGGCCACAAAAGAGAATCTTTCCAAGGCAGGGAAGGGGGGCACAAAGGGTTAGACACATTAATGGTGGGCACCCAGCGGCATCATGGGAGAGGAGGAATGCTGGGAGACCGATGGAATTGGGGAAACAGAGAAAATTGCTGGGAGAAGAATGGAATTTTGGGACAATAGGCAACATGGGAGAAGTATGGATTGTGGGAACAGATGGAATTCTGGTGAAGTATGGATTTGTGTAAACTGGAAATCAACATTAAGTGAATGAGAATTGTGGGAACAAGGAAGACTGCTGGGAGCACTACGGAATTGTGGGAATGGGAGGCATACTGGGAGAAGTATGCAATTGTGGGAACAAGGAGGAATGAATGCTGGGTGATGTATGGAATTGTGGGAACAATAGCCATCATGGGAGAGGCATGGAATTGTGGAAATAATAAGCATCATCGACAAAGAACAGAATTGAGGGAACAGGAAGTCAATACCCAGTGAATGGGAATTGTGGGAACCTCAAGCATCCAGAGAAGTACAGAATTGTGGGAACGGGAGGAATGCTGGGAGAAGTATGGAATCATGGGAGTAGGAGGAATGCTGGGAGTGGCACGGAATTGTGGGAACAGGAGGAATGCTGGGAGCATTATGGAATTATGGGAATAAGGAGGAATGCCGGGAGAAGGATGGAATTGTGGGACAATAGGCATCATGGGAGAAGTATGGAATTGTGGGAACTAAGACTGCTGGGAGCAGTATGGAACTGTGGGAATGATAGGCATCATGGGAGCATTATGGAATGATGGGAACAGGAGGAATGCTAGGAGCACTGAGGACTTGTGGGAACAAGGAGGAATGCTGGGAGAAGTATGGAATTGTGGGAAAATGAGGATGGCTGGGAATATTATGGAATTATGGGAACAAGGAGGAACGCTGGGAGAATTATGGACTGGTAGGAACCATAGGAATCATGGAAGAAGTATGGAATGGTGGGAACAATAGGAATCATGGGAGAAGTATGGAATGGTGGGAACAGGAGGAATGCTGGGAGCAGTATGGAATTATGGGAACATGAAGTCAACATTGGATGAATGGGAAAGGTGGGAACAAAAAAGAATGCTGGAAGAAATATGGAATTGTGGGAACAAGGAGATATGCTGGAAGTATGGAATTACGGGAACATGCATCATGGAAGAAGTATGGAATTGTGGGACCAATAGGCATCATGGTAGAACAATGGAATTGTGTGAACAGGGAGTCAACATGCAGTGAATGGGAACTGTGGAAACAATAAGCATCGTGGGAGAAGTACAGAATTGTGGGAACAGGAGGAATGCTGGGAGCAGTATGGAATTGTTGGAACAAGGAGGAATGCGTAGAGCAATATGGACTTGTGGAAACAGGAAGTCACCACTCAGTGAATGGGAATTGTGGGAGCAGTAGGCATCATGGGAGATGTATGGAATTTTTGGAACAGGAAGGCAACAGTCAGTAAATGTGAATTATGGGAATAAGTCAATCAACTTTTGGGAACAAGGAATTGTGGGAACAAGAAGGAATGATGGGAGGCTGGAATTAGGGGAACAAGAAGGAAAGCTGGGGGCTATGAGTGAATTGTGGGAACAAGGAGGAATGCTGGGAGGAGTATGGAATTCTGGGAACAAGGAGGAATACTGGGAATACGACAGTATTGTGGGAACATGGAGGATGGCTGGGAATATGGAATTGTGGGAACACGGAGGGAAAGCTGAGAGAATGATGGAATTATGGGAACAAGGAGGAATGCTGGGAGAAGTATGGAATTGTGGGAAGAGTGAGGAATGCTGGGAGCAGTATGGAATTGTGGGAGCAGAGGGGAACGCTGGGAGCAGTATGGAATTGTGGGAACAGAGAGGACTGCTGGGAGCAATATGGAATTGTGGGAACAGAGAGGCATACTGGGGGCAGTATGGAATTGTGGGAATAAGGAGAAATGCTGGGAGAATATTGAATTGTGGGAACAGGAATGCTGGGAGCATTATGGAATTATGGGAATAAGGAGGAATACTGGTAGTATGGAATTATGGGAATAAGGAGGAATACTGGGAGCAGTATGGAATTGTGGGAGCAGAGGGGAATGCTGGGAGCAGTGTGGAATTGTGGGAACAGAGAGGACTGCTGGGAGCAATATGGAATTGTGGGAACAGAGAAGAATGCTGGGAGCACTATGGAATTGTGGGACAAGGAGGAATGGGGGAGAATGATGGAATTCTGGGAACGTTAAATCAACATTGGGTGAATGGAAATTGCAGGAACAAGGGGGAATGCTGGGAGGATGGAATTATGGGAAAAAGGAGGAATGCTGGAAGAATGATCAAATTGTGGGAACACAGGAATGCTGAAAGATGGAATTCAGGGAACATTAAATCAACATAGGATGAATGGGAATTGTGGGACGGAGGAGGGAATGCTGGGAGCACTATGGCCTTGTGAGAACAAGGAGGAATGCTGGGAGAAGTATGGAATTGTGGGAAAAGGAGGATGGCTGGGAGTATTATGTAATTATGGGAACAAGGAGGAATGCTGGGAGAAGTATGGAATGCTGGGAACAAGAAGAATGCTGGGAGAGGACAGAATTCTGAGAACAAGGATGACTCCTGATAGATGGATGGACTTCTGGGAACAGAAAGTCATCATTGATGAATGGGAACTGTGGGAACACCAGGCATTGTGGGAGAAGGATGGAATTCTGGGAATGGGAACAGGAAGTCAACTTTGGGTGAACAAGAATTGTGGGAAATGGAGGAGTGCAGGGAGCTGTATGGAATTGTGGGAACAGAGAGGAATGCTGGGAGGATGACGGAATTGTGGGAACGGGAGGAATGCTGGGAGAAATACAGAATTGTAGGAACACTATACATCATGGTAGAAATATGGAATTCTGGCTAGAAGGAGGAATGCTGGGAAAATATGGAAATTTGGTAACTGGAGGAATGCTGGTTTGGAATTGTGGGAACAAGGGGAATGCTGGGAGAAGGATGGAATGCTGAGAACAGAAAGTCAACATTGGGTGAATGGGAACTGTGGGAACAAGGAGGATTGCTGAGAGAAGGATGGAATTGTGGGAACAGGAGAGAATTCTAGGACAAGAATGGAATTCTGGGAACAAGGAGGAATGCTGGGAAACGTATGGAATTTTGGGAACAAGGGAATGCTGGGAGAATGTTGGAATTGTGGGAACAGGAGGAAACCCAGAAGAAGATGGAACAAGAGGGATGCTGGGAGAAAGTCACGGTGAGGCACGATGTTGGGAGAAGTATGGAATTCTGGAAACAAAAAGGAATGCTGGGTAAACGACAGTATTGTGGGAACACGGAGGACCTCTGGGTAGTATGGCATTGTGGGAACACGAAGGGAATGTTGAGAGAATGATGGAATTGTGGGAACAAGAAGGAATGCTGGGAACAATATGGAATTGTGGGACCAAGGAGGTAGTGAACGATGGAATTTGGGAACAAGGAGGAATGCTGGGAGAAGTATGGAATTGTGGGAACAAGGAGGAATGCTGGGAGAAGTATGGAATTATAAAAACAAAGAGGAATGCTGGGAGAATTCAACAGAATTGTGGGAACAGAGGGGAATGCTGGGAGCAGTATGGAATTGTGGGAACAAGGAGGAATGCTGAGAAAAGTATAGAATTGTGGGAACATAGAGGCCTGCTGGGAGCAGTATGGAATTCTGGGAAGGAATGCTGGGAGCAGTTTGGAATTGTGGGCGCAGAGAGGAATGCTGGGAGCAGTAAGGAATTGTGGGAACAAAGAAGAATTCTGGGAGCAGTATGGAATTCTGGGAACAAGGGGAATGCTGGGAGAAGGATGAAATGCTGAGAACAGGAAGTCAACATTGGGTGAATGGGAATTATGGGAACAAGGAGGAATGCTGAGAGAAGGATGGAATTGTGGGAACAAGGAAGGATGCTGGGAAAAGTATGGAATTGTGGGAACGAGGGAATGCTAGGAGAATGACAGAACTGTGGGGACAAGAAGGAATCCTGGGAGAAGATGGAATTGTGGGAACATGAGGATGGCTGGGAGAATGATGCAATTGTAGAACAGGAAGTCAACATCAGATGAACGGGAATTTTGGGAACAATAAGTCAATATTGGATGAATGGGAATTGTGGGAGCAATGGGCATCATGGGAGAAGTACAGAATTCATGGAACAGGACGTTAAATTTGGATTAATGGGGACTGTGGGAATAAGAAGCAGCATGGGAAACAAGAATAATTGTGGGAACAGGAAGTCAACAGTGGATGAATGGGAGTTGTGGGTACAAGGTGGGATCTTGGGATAAGTACAGAATTGTGAGAATGGGAGGTCAACATGGATGATTTGAAATTGTGGGTACGGAAGTCAACATGGGATGAATGGGAATTGTGGGGATAATAGCACGGGAAAAGAAAGGAATTGCGGGAACAGGAACTCAACAGTGGAGTAATGGGAACTGTGTGAAAAAGGAGGGATCCTGGAAGAGGTCTGGAATTGTGGGAACAGGAAAGCAACATTGGAAGAACAGGAATTGTGGGAACAAGGTGTGCTCACGGGAGAGGTACAGGCTGTAAGAACAAGATATCACATGGATGAATGGGAATTGTGGCAACAACAGGCATCATGGGAAAAGTAAAGTACTGTGGGAACAGGAAGGCAACATTGGGTGAATGGGAATTGTGGGAACAAGGAGGACTGCTGGGAAGACGGAATTGTGGAGCCAGAGAGGAATGTTGGGAATAGCATGGAATTCTAGGAATAAGCGGAGATCATAGTAGAAGTATGGAATTGTGGGAACAGGAAGACAACATCAGTGAATGAGAATTGTGGGGACAATAAGCATCATGGGAGAAGTATGGAATGGTGGGAACAGGAGGAATGCTGGGAGCAGTACGGAATTCTGGGAACAGGAAATCACCATTGGATGAATGGGAATGGTGGGAACAAGAAAGAATGCTGGAAGAACTATGGAATTGTGGGAACTAGGAGGCATGCTGGAAGTGTGGAATTACGGGAAAAGGCATCATGTAAAAAGTATGGAATTGTGGGACCAACAGGCATCCTGGTAGAAAAATGGAATCGTGTGAACAGGGAGTCAACACGCAGTGAATGGGAACTGTGGAAACAATAAGCATCATGGGAGAAGTACAGAATTGTGGGAACAGGAGGAATGCTGGGAGCAGTATGGAATTGTTGGAACAAGGAGGAATGTGTAGAGCAATATGGACTTGTGGAAAGAGGAAGTCAACACCCAGTGAATGGGAATTGTGGGAGCAGTAGGCATCATGGGAGATGTATGGAATTTTTGGAACAGGAAGTCAACAGTTGGTGAATAGGAATTATGGGAATAGTAAATCAACATTGGATGAATGGTTATTGTGGAAAATAGGAGGAATGCTGGGAATAGTATGGAATTGTGGGTATAGTGGGCATCATGGAGAAGTACAGAATTGTGGGAACAGGAAGTCAACACTCAGTGAATAGAAATTGTGGCAACAATAAGCATCATGGAGGGCCTCCCTGGTAGCACAAGGGGTTAAACACAGCACTATGAAGCAATCCGCAGCTTCTGCAGCATGAGTTCGATCCCTGGCCAGCCAGGGAACAACTCACCAGTCTCGCCTGCTGCTCCCGTCAGCAGTGTATTTCAGTCATTCTGCCTGTTCTGTTCCCTGCTCTGTCTCTGGTGAATCTTCTCACCCACACATCTGGCCTGTACTCCGGTTCTTGTATAAATAAATCAATCTTAAAAAAGAACAAACAATAAACATCATAGAAAAAGTATGGAATTGTGGAAACAAGGAGGAATGGTTGAAGCATTATGTAATTGTGGGTACAATAGGCATCATGGAAGAAGTATTGAATCCTGGGAACAGGAAGTCAACACTCAGTGAATGGGAACTGTGGGAACAACAGGCATCATGGGAGAAGTATGGAATTGTGGGGGCAAGGAAGGATGCTGGGAGCAGTATGGAATTGTGGGAACAATAGGCATCATGGTAGCAGTACGGAATTATGGGAACAGGAGGAATGCTGGGAACATTAGGGAATTATGGGAGCAAGGTAGAATGCTGGGAGAAGTATAGACTTGTGGGAACAACAGGCATCATGGGAGATGTAATTGTGGGAACAGGAGGAATGCTGGGAGCACAATGGACTTGCGGGAACAAGGAGGACTGCTGGGAGAATATTGAATTGTGGGAACAGGAGGAATGCTGGGAGCATTATGGGAATAAGGAGGAATGCTGGGAGAAGTATGGAATTGTGGGAACAAGAGGCATCATGGGAGATGTATGGAAATCGTGGAACAGGAAGTCAACACTCAGGGAATGGGAATTATGGGAATAGTAAGTCAACATTGGATGAATGGGAATTGTGGGAACAAAGAGGAATTATAGGAGAAGTATGGAATTCTGGGAACAGAAGTCAACATTGCATGAATGGGAACTGTGGGAACAAGGAAGCATGCTGGGAAAAATATGTAATCGTGAAAAGGATGTGCGTTCATTCAAGTTCAACAGCTGTAGCAGGAATCTTTCTCATTTACTTCCATCCACGGACGACAATGACACTCCAGAGATTATCACCACGACCAGACCTGCCCTTCCTCACAGGGTTGGATTCCAAGGATCTAATCCTTAAAGCGTCAAGGCATCTCATTCCAAATCTGAGCCCTATAATCACGCCATTGCTATGCTACTCACATCCTCTGCCGTTAAGAGGCCATTAAACAAACATAATCCTTGAATTAAAGCAACATTTGCCAACACCTGCAACATAGTAATCCCCCTCACTGCTAACTTGCTAAGAGATTTTGCCAAATGTAAATCATCTACCTCTCACTGCTTATTTCTACCACACCCAATAAAACTAACCCCCTCCATAGCTAATCTATCAAATGCCTCTTGATTGAGAGCATTTTTGCCAAATGTACTATTTCCAACAACCTAACCCCACAACCACCTCACAGGCGAGTCTGCCTGTTATCCGAAATGAAGGGGCCCGTTTCTCTAACAGGTTTCATGGTGACACTAGAACTTACCCTAATAATACAAAACCTAGGGGCCTCCCTGGTCGCGCAAGGGTTAAGACACAGCCTGTGAAGCTGTCCACAATCTCTGCAGCATGAGTTCATCCCCGGTCCGCCAGGGAGCAACCCACAAGGCGCGCAGACCACTCCTGTCTCACACCCGGAGCAGATTAAAAAGGCCATGAAAGCCACAGACAACCCACTACTACTTCATACAATTCCACACCCAGCCCCAGCGCTCAGAATGAACCCCAAACCTGGACTGGGGAGAGGGGAGGTATTTCAAAAAAGAAAAAATTTAACCCCAAACCACCATAAATTGCAGTTTTTGTAGAAAAACCCAAGTAAGTATCAAAGCAACACTGAAAACGTAACTTGTGACAGCTTGAGGAACAGCAGAAAAAGGAGGGAAGCGGACCTACCTCCTGGCGGAAGCCTCAGGGTCGTCTGAGGGGTGAGGCCGGTCACCTCTCTCGGGGTCTGGACCCCCGGCAGGCCAGCCAGGCGACGGCACGCCGCATGCCTACTGGGGGGCAATGGGGAGGGGAGGACAGGTTATGCTCCAGGAAAGCCTGAGGCCAGTGCGTGCTCCAAACAGTGGGGGATCTGAGGGGGAACAGGTGACCCTCAAGCCAAAGGGAGCAACAGGGCCGTGACCCCCCCACACACATACACACAACCCTCGAGCCGAAGTGAGCCCCTCCGTGCGCGTTTACGGCGCGGCTGTCACAGGCCGCAAGGCAACAGCAAATGCACACCGCCAGGCAGGCAGGGTCTCACCTTGCACCCGGACTGCACGCCAGACACCCCTGCAGCCAGCCAAGCCCGGCTCCAGCGCATGGAGCCCAATTTCCTCACCTTCCACCAACGTCCTCCCGTAGTTGATCCACCCTCCATCACCACCTTCTCGCCCCCAGGCGGGTCCCCTGTCAACCCCCACAGGCCAGGGACGGGAGGCCCGAACAGCTGCAGAACAATCACAAGGCAACACCCAGCAGCCTCCAGGGCAACCACGTGAAGCCAAGCTCGCCCGGCCCCTCCCGCATCGCTCTCCTTTCCTCTCTGCTACACTCCGAAGGCCTGACTCCACGGCCGGCTCACTGGCGCGTCACAGTGTCTCGGGGATGCCTGCGGGCCTGGGTCACGCCGGTGTCCATCGGCTCACCTCTTCTTGCCACTGTCCTCAGTCAGAAGATGTGCCCACTGGGGAGACCGGCTCCCCCTCCAGAGTCCTCCTCAACCCAAGGGCCAGAGCTGGCCCGGTGCTTATCCGCAAGCCTCTGAAACAAAGCTGGCTGCCGTGAGTCTAAAACACGGCTGAGAAGAGGACCAGGCAGCTCTGAAGAAAGTGTAGCCAGGCTAGAGGGCGTCCAGGCAAGGCCAGCCAGGGCGGGACTAGGCAGGGAGCACCCCCAACGTGGACAGAGGCTGGTGCGCACAGACTGAAACCCCAGAGCCCACCAGAGCTTCCTCCCACAGCTGAGGCACCTGCTCCCCAAGGCCACTCCCAGGCTGCTGCCCAGCGCAGAGGCCGGGAGACATCCCTTCAGCTCTGGCAAAGACCGACCCGTCTCTCGCTGCCTGGGGGCCAGACAAGCAGAAGTTGGCATCTTTGCCTGGAGAGTGGGGTGGACAGGACGCTGCAGGGGTGCGGAGTGTGCATGTGGTGCTGGACATGGGGGAACGCACGCCCCACCCAGAAAAGCTGAAACGACACATCCCTTTGGCTCTTGGCATCAAGGTGGGGGCTGCTATCTCGGGGCATCCTCAAGGAAGCGAAGCAGCTTCCCCACAGTGCCCCTTGCGGTCCCACCCATGCCTGTGGAGCCACAGGAAGCCCAAAACACAAAAGCAGCAGGTCCTGGCCAGCTATCCCAAGTGGAAGCACACCCCACTCTTGCTGGGAAGGGGGTGGCACTCAGCAGGGCTCTCTGCACCATGCCGGGAAAGGCCCGGACCTTCCGACGGGCCTGCACGCCAGCCACAACCTGCACGCCCGCCCTGTCTGCAAACCGAATCTTCTTCTCGAAATACACTTGGCCTTGTTTGAGCTGGCAGAGCTGGACACATGGCCGATGACCAGTGCACCGGCCAGGACCCATCACCCCGTGTCCCCGCCCAGATCTGCCCTGGCCAGGGTGGGACGGGCCCCGGCCCTTGCCTTGGCCCCTCCTGCTGCCGTCTCCGAGCCGGCCACGGCCCTGCTCCTGCCTCGCGCCCTCCGCCGCGGCCGCGCCTCCCCCACGCACGTTCACGAGCTGCGCAGAGTCCGAGGCGGGCCGGGGGCTCGGTCACAACGACTTTATTGCATTTACTTCTGGGCGACGCGGTGGGACGCACTCCCCCCACGGCCAGCCCCGGGCAGGGGGGTAACGGAGAGGGCGCAGGTTTGCTCCCCACGGAGTTCTCCTGCCTGTGCCACGCCTGTCCCACGCCCAGGGCGCTCCTCTCACCAGCAAGCGCGGCCCGGGGAAACTCCAGCAGGGGAGGAGAGGAAGACCCGGGGGGATGCGAAAGGGCAGAGGTGCGGGGTGGGAAGGTTTCACAGGAAGACGAAGGTGGGGTGGAGGGAAGGGCAGGCTGGGGGCCCCGCCGCGCCCCTCACAGGTCTCCGTGCAGCTGCGGCCCAGAGTCGACCTGCGTCCCACCGCGGGGCGGGCTGGCCACGCGGATCTCCACGGTGCTGGCGTCAGAGCCTGCGGAGGGAAGGACAGAAGAGCTCGCTGGTGTGGTCCGGGCTCCCGGCGGTGTCTGCGAGGGGCAAAGGGACGTCAGCCCACGACGCCAGTGATCCTGGTGCGAAACGTCCTACAGACCCAGCCAGGGCCGCGGGTGGAAGCCACAGACTGTTTCCACGCCGTCCTCTCTTGCCTGGGGAGAAGGTGCGGGGCCGGGAGGAAGAGGCAGGAGAGGGGCTCCTGAGGCCAGCTGCTCACGCGTCCTGGGGGGACGGGGCCGGGGCTGGCACTGAGCCCTTCACGCTCCTGGACAGGAAACAGCACCCCCTGAAGGTTTCCGGGGGTTCCCAAGATGACAACCAGCCATGTTTTCCTTCGTCTGTCTGTGAGGACCATTTTGCTTGACTTTTACTCCCGAGGGAAATTCTACTTCCTTATAAAGATGGTGTTTTGGACAAAGTCATCCTAAGAAATTCCACACGGTCCCGTCTCAGTCAACTCTTGCCCCAGAGGCAAACCAGGACGCACCAGCCAACTCTCCCACCCCCGTGTGTGGTGGGGGGGCCGTGGAAACCTTCAGCGCCTCCCCATGCTCACCACATCAAGCGCCAACAGCCGGGTACAACAGCATCCGGCCCCACGCCGCGCCCCCCGCGCCCCTCGAGCCCTCCGCCCGTCCCCGCTGCGGCACCCACAGACTCCCAGCGGCCGTCGCAGCCTCGTCTGCGGGGTGATCTTCCCCAGCTCCCCCTGCCTGCTCAGCGGCCCCCAGCCCTTCCCCGCTTCTCCCAAGCCCCAGCACAGCCCCCGCGGTTTCTGTTCCCACGAGCAGGGCCAACGAGCTCAGCAGGCCCACTAAGGCTCTAGGACTCTCTTCAGCTGTCCCCCCGATTGACAAAGAACCTGCCCCTGCCTGCTGGCACCAGACTGCATCACCCGGTGTTAGAAATAAAGACAAGATGGGGTTTTACACACACTTCTCAAGTTTGGTGGCAGGGGTTAAACACAGCGCCGTCAAGCTGTCTGCAGCCTCTGCAGCACAAGTTGGGTCCCCGGCCAGGGAGCTACCCACAGGGCGCAGCAGACCTCTCCTGTCTCCCCGTTGTTCCCCTCAGCAGCGGATTTCAGTGGATCCGCCTGTTCTGCTCCACACTCTGTCTCTGGTGAGTGCTCTCGCCCCACCCCCGGCATCTCTGGCCTGCACCCCAGCTCTTGCATGCATAAATAAATCCTTAAAAAACAAAAATGCCATCCAAGCCAAGAGGGACCCGGTTAGCATCAAGACCAAGCAACTGTGCTTAATAACCCAGGGAAGGCACGTGACAATACGCAAGAGGGTGACGAGATGCAAAGCAGCTACTGCACGTATCCACTGCCCCACATGCAGCGTTCTAGAGATTCCTCGAACTGCCCCCTCCTGACCAGACCGCCCGGTTGTTGGGAAAGGATTTCCAGGGGAGGGCTGGGGCTGCTCTGTCTCACCACCTGTCTGGGCAGATGGCACATTACCTTCAGAGAGCAGGCTCAGGGCCTCGTCAGAAGCATGCCCCCGGCCGCAGACCTCCTTCCTGGAAGCGGGGCTCTGCCGGGGAGCACAGGAGCCCTCTGGGGACCCGTGAGCCTGCTCAGTGGCCGATGTCGTCAGGGATTGCCACTGGAGCTCCTTCCGGGAAGCCTGGGCGTTCAGGCCGCATCCTGTCCAGCCGTGGAAGGCCAGGGACAATAGGAACCCTTGGGCTGGATTCAGGATTCCCTGGGAGGAGAGAAAGACAGTGGGTCAGTGTGAGTGGTGGCTAGCGCGGGGGAGGGGGCACTGGAGGAGCAAGAAGGGAGGAAGGAGGCCGCAGAGGAGGGCTCAGGACGCGGGACAGGTGAGCCCAGCACCATCACCCTGGCCGTGCTTCCCAGCCTGCTAGTCAGGCTCTGGTTTCACACAGGTCCGTGCACTCCACTTGCATGTGCTGAAGGGCAGTGAAGCCATCAGGCTTCTGGCGCCACTGGCCTCTGCGGTGTCACCTGCGGCCTTGATCGTGCTAATGCAGAAGGCTCTCGGGAGCACGTATACACGTGAAGCCGAGCAGGGGGGCCCGGCCAGACTCCACGCAAAGCTGGGGTGGGGCAGTTACTGGGTGGGGCAGTTACTGGGTGGGGCAGTTACACTGGCCGTATCTGGACGCACCCACGGTGTTCCCACATCATTTTGTGCATTTCTTTGCAATATATTTTTCATACGTGTTATGTGGTTGGCATTAGTGTAATTTCACATTCTGCGTTTTTCACTTGCATAATTGTCATTTTTGGCATCTGCATGCCTTCCAGACAAAAGGCCAGGTTTACTTCCTAGTGGCCCTTTCTCGCTTTCATCTGGGCTGCCCACGTGCTCGACAGTTTCTCTACAGGGGATGCCTTCATTTCCGTGCCGTTTTGTTCGAGCCAAGTTCCTTCAAGCTCAATCCCTGCCTCTCTGAGTCCGCCTGAAAGGTCCCCCACGGGCCACAGCCCACCTCAGCGACCCTGAGCGGCACCATTTGCTGACAACCCACCGGAGCAGGACCAGCCAGTGCTTTAAGTCCAAATGTCAGGAACCAGTGACAGCTTTAAGTAGCAACACATAGACTTCAGTGAGGTATTTTCTCCTTCCGGTGTTTTCAAGAAAACACAACAAAATATCTCAGGCTCTGAGAAAATAATGGTGCTTTCCCGAGGGGAAGGGACAGGAGGAATGGGTAGAGGGTCACATGACGGTGTGACTAGGACTTGGAGGGCGATGAAGTGTGGCCTCTACATACACTGAGGCACGAAGGTGTGCACCCAACACTTACACGGTACCTGAGCAAATGGCAAGTTGAAAGAACAAGCGTGTGGGCCTCCCTGGTGGCGCAGGGATTAAAGAAAACTCTATCAAGCTATCGCCAACCCTTGCAGCATAAGTTTGATCCCCGGCCAGCCAGAAAGCTACCCACATGGTGCAGCAGACCTCTCCTATCTCCCCGCTGCTCCCCCCAGCAGTGGATTTCAGTCTGTCTGATCTGTTGCCCACTCTGTTGGTGAATCCTCTCACCTCCCCACCCCACACCTCTGCCCTGTACCCCAGTTCCTGTGTGCACAAATAAATAAATCTTTAAAAATTTGAAAAAAAAAAAAGCCTGGGCCTACCAGAATACACCACGTGGTCTTGGCTGCATTTCTCACATGCTTTAAAGAGCCTGCGTGGATGTCCGGTTGCATTTCAAGATAGAGTAAAAGGCTTTCGTTGATGATATTTGACAACCAGCTGTGAAAGAGAAGACGGCCCAGTGTGAAAGGACAAGCAGCAGAATTAGTTTTCAAATGTCGAGGTTCAGGGCATGTGTCCAAGACCTCAAAGTCCTGGAGGGGTGGCCAATCAGCAGCAAGGAGGAAGGCACACACCGAGGATTTCGGGTAAGGATGTCCTCCTGCCGGAGAGGAGCAGGGCCCTCCCACCGCCTAAGGGACTAGGGCCCCGCACAACAGCAGGTAACCCGGCGCGTGTTCTTTCTTTTGATGGAGACCCCAAAAATCTCATTGTGACACGTCATGTTGAATTTTGTTACGGCTGCTAGACCTGCGAGGTTGGGAATGGCGAGCCCAGTGTGTATTTAGAGGCAGGGCGTTGACAGCTCTCCCAGGAAACTGTCCCAACAAGCCTCCTCGCACCAGGCACGTGCACCGCCGAGGCATGCTCTGTCTTGCAAAGTATCGCTTCACGGCAGCCAAGGGTTTTCTGATCCAGTCTGTTTAGCACTGATGACGTATCTAGTCTCGATTACAGATCTAGCCTCGAAACATCCACCTGAAATAAGCAGGCAGGTACCAGAGCCAGGGCAAACTGCAGCGAGAAGTATAGCTGGGCCTGTTGTCCGTCTTTCTGGACTGAGCAAGGAGTCATCACACCACAGATGTGCCCTTGCCCTCCTGTCTCCTCAGGAGACAGATACGGGACCCTGGCATCTAGTGCAGGCCCGTGGTTGGGGTGGAAGGCGTGGGCAAGCACTGCAGGTCGGCACTGACCCTAGCAACGGCCCCGTTCTCAAGGCATGTGGCTGGGATGCTCAAAACTTAAGTGGGGACTTCTTGTTCTAGCTTTCTGTCGCTAGTTTGAGGAGACCTGAGAACCTTTCCAGAAGTCAAGATGGAATTCGTTTCCATCTTGATGCATTTCCTTAAAGGGCACCAAGCACAGTTCCAAAGATTTCCTTACCAAAGACTCTCCCCTTGGGAATGGTGGGATCGCACAGAGCAAGACAAAACACCAGTGTTTGTACGTCCCTCCCCACGCACCAAGAAAAACAGAAGAAAGTTACCAAATGACTAAAACCAGCATGATTTTGAAAAATCGGATCTTGACCCCGGCTCCCATCCGTCTCTCGTTGTCTGTGTAGACGCCTTGCCTTCCTTTCAGTAACGAGGTCACTGTGGACAGACGGAGGAGAACCACATGGGTGGCCAAAGTTTGTTTCTTGAGCGCCGGGAGGACATGGAGCCAGAAGAGAGCCCATAACAGCAGGCAAAGCCGGGCACTACCAAGTGTCCCCCATCTTCCCGGTTGGTGCTCGTGGAGTCCGGGGCACAGAGGCCTGAAGAATTCATTCTGAAGTCAGTTTAGATTTACCTACAATCTGCAAATGTAGTAGAGAGTTCTGGCAGCCCTGTGCCAGCCTCGCCCAGCGCCGACACTTTCCACACCGTGGGCACACAAGTCGTAACTATGGGATCTACACAGCTACACTGCCTGACTGAACTCGGGTTTCTGGGGCCTCCCTGGTGGCGCAAGGGGTTAAGCGTCAGCGCTGTGAAGGTATCCGCAGCCTCTGCAGCATGAGTTTGATCCCTGGCCGGCCAGGGAGCAACCCACATGGCACAGCAGACCTCTCCTGTCTCACCCGCTGCTCCCCTCAGCAGTGGATTTCAGTCGGTCGGCCTGTTCTGCTCCCCACTCTGTCTCTGGTGAATCCTCTCACCCCCTGCATCTCCACCCTTACCCCAGCTCTTGTATGCATAAATAATGAATAAATCTTTAAAAAATAAATCAATAAACTCGGGTTTGTGGCCTTCATGGGCTCAGGAACTGCATTTTTAAAGGTTTGTATTTGCTATGCAAAGGTAATTTACACTTGCTATATTAAAATGTTCAAAATTATTCCTTATCAATAAGCTGGAAAATCTAAAAAAAACCCAGAGAAAAATTAATGACCAAGGTTCTACTTGTCAGTACATTTCTTCCCTGTCTTTTTCCTTTGGATCATTTTATTTTGATGTCATTGAAAGGCTAAATTTTTTGCAGTAAGAAAAACAGCTTCTTTTAAGACATTATTCTAAGTGTGTGAACCATTCCCAGTGGCTGCGAACTAACTATTGACGAGTCCCACAGCGAGGGCTGAGGTGTAGAGACCCCCAGGAGGGGCACGTGCTGACTCTCATCCTGCACTAACACTCCAGAGGCAGGCGGCTGGAAAGCAGCTCCAGGCCCACACCCCTGGGGGTGCAAGGGGCGGGACACCGGTCCCAGCTCAGCCCAGAGGCCTCTCCCCACCACCACCCTTACCCACATTCACCCCACTTCCTGTGCGCTACTCCCCATCTCCTGCCCGACTGAGGAAAGACCCGGTCATCACAAGAGCCCGTGGCAAGGGCCATGCTGGTGGCCCCGCACCGGACGCCCCTGTCACCCACCTGCAGTCACTGTCTTGTGGAACAGGATGGGGTTGACCGCCAGGACCAGCAGCAGCGGCAGGTAGGTGGTGACGTAGTGCGGGATGGCATGCTCCAGACCCCGCTCACACCTGGGGGAAGCTGAGTCACTCTCAAAAGCGCCACCTGACCTCAATGAGGCCTGCGTAGCCGAACGCCAGGACAGCAGACAGAGCAAAGTGGGACGCACAGTGCCTGACGCTGGCCGAGGGGAGCCTGTGACTCACTTCTCCCGCTGGGAATGGCGGGACCAGGAGACTCCTGGGCTCCTTAGAGAGGCACCAAGGCCCCTGCTGGGAAGACATGGAGGAAGGGGCTGCTGGATGCCCCCCACAGGGCACTCAGGGACCAGTGAGGTCTGGGCAAAGGCGGGCTGGCACCAGGCCAGATCCTGCCCCGCCCAAGGAGCAACTCAAGTCCCCCAGTTCGCACGTCAAAGGACATCTGTTCTCGGGGTGATGAAGGACACTCACTGCAGGGGGTCTTTCCAGGGAGAAGCACCAGAGCTTTTACTGACGGGGTCCTCGGGCACCCCGGGGCATGGTGCAGGGCACACAGGTGTCACTGAGGTGTCACACACAGGTGCGGCATCAGGAAGAGACGCGTAATGTGGAAGAAAATGGTACCAGGGAGAGGGGACAGGCAGGCAGAGCGGACAGAGGAAGGCTTGAAAGGACGGGCCGCGTGGAAACCCTGGGGCCGGGCAGCTCTCGTGAACCCCGCGGCGCCGGCTCCCTTGGGTCAGACACCATGTCCCCAGGGCCCCCAGGTGAAGGAGGATGGTACAAACCCCCTCACAGCTGAGTTCAAACCGCCCCCCACCACCACTTATCCCTCTTAAAGTTCCTCGGGATCGACGCACGCTGTGCGCACCAGGGCGACTGGAAACGTCCAGCTGATTGGCAGCCGAGTGGAGGGAAGGGGTGGGGGGCCACCCCCCAGCAGAGTTTCTGTCAGGGAAGAGCTAGTATTGATGCTTCATGGGCTGCACAGCCTCTGAGGAAACTACTCAGCGGCACAGGCCGGGCGCCAACAAGACTCTACTTATACCAGCAGCAGGCAGCAGGGTCTGCCCCCAGGGCTGCGCTGACCCTGGTCCACAGGCCGCCTCTATTTTTCAGATTCTATCGGCCGTTACAGCCTGTGTCCTTGCAGGTACACGGAGGCTTCTCCCATGGGGGCAATGATGAGATTGATCCTCGAAAGACAACGTGGCTCTAGCTCAGAGGCCACTGTCCGTCAGCCCGTGTCCAGGAAGGCCAAGAGCACAGCCTGGAAGCGGCAGCCACAGAGCAGAGATTTAGAATTAGCTCTGCTGAGTGAGCCTGATCCTCCCACATCATCTCAAACTCACTCTCGAATGCCAAACTCCCCTGCTCAGCCAGAAGAGTCGATTAGAGCAAAGGAACGGGTCTGGGAAGCTGCATCCATCCAGAGGGCACAGCGTGTGCACTCAGAGGACACAGCTAGAGCGCTGCATCTACACGCACAAAAGGGTCACACCTAGAGCTCCACACACAAACTTGTGTGCACAGGCACACGTCACACAGCGTGTAAAGACGGGTAGGAGAGCCAGCCTGGGGTCACGGGCAGGTCGAGGACAGCCACTGGGGCAGGTCACCTGGGCGCGGCTCACCTGGCGCAGCTTACCTGGACACGGAGGGCGAGTAGAGCATGAGGACGCCCTCCACACAGAGCAGGCCGGCCAGGCCCCAGGCCATGATGTGGTAGAGCAGAAGGGTGCTAGGACAGAGGCAGAGGCGCTGCCTGAGAACACGGCAGGAGGCCGGGGTGGAAACTCCCCAACAACCCGGCGTCGTGAACCAGGACCGCAAACCGCAGCCAGCAGCTAGAGACCCGTTTTGGGTTTTCCCTTAATTGTGAAATTCATACAACACAAAACTCACCTTTGAAGAGAAGCACCCAGAAGTAAAGGGGACAACTCAGAAATAAACAAGGTGAACAAGTCCATGTGCCGAGGATAGTCACGGGCTGTGCATGCTCCACCTGGCTCCATCCACACAGTCCCCTCACCCCAAAGGAAGCCACACCTATGCTAAGCACCCACGCCCCATCCCGCCTCCCGGGGGAGCCCTCCTCTGACCGCTGTCTCTGTGGATGGGCCTCTTCTGGACACTTCTCCCCAGGGCGCCATGTCGCCCCTTTGCCTGGGCTTCCCTGCCGCAGCATCACCTGGCGAGGGCTGGCGGTCACCCAGCAGGGCCTGCTACCCCGAGCGGAGCCCCATCCCTGCTCTCCTGGACTTAATGAGGGGTCTCTGAGCTCAAGACAGAGGTGATTGTTGCTGCACCACCTGAGCAGAACCAGTTCCTTCTTCGCTGCCCACCTGTGTCCACTCCCCTGTGTCCCCTGAAGAGCTACAAGCCTGGACAGGACTGGTATTTAAAAAAAAAAAAAAAAAGATTTAGAGTCTGCCTTTATTTAGCCTTTTATAAAAAGGAGCTGCCCTTCACAGTTCCTGGGGGAGATGCAGCCAACGGGTTCTGATCAACTGTCATTCTGGGAAATGCTCTGGGGGTTCAGTGGCAGCCCCAGCCTCCCCTCACACGACCACAGCACGCTGGTTCCCTCAGCCAGCACCTCAGTCCTGCAGACCTCCGGACCACCAGATAGGCGTCGACAGCGTAGCAGAACAGCCACCAGAAGCAGGCGCTGTACAACAGCTGGATCCACATCTGCAACAGGGATAGCCTAGCGTCAGAGCTCTTGCAAACGAGACCCAGACTGGCCCAGCCGTGAAATGAGCTGGCGGCCGCGGGCTTCCTCTGACGTCCAGGGTCGGCACATGAAAGGCTGGAGGACACAGGGAAAGCCGGCAGCCCAGGTGGAGGGGCGCCGGCCGCAGGGGGCCTGTCCCAGCTGCTCAGCTGGATGGCAGCCACTGCCCTGCCTGGCGGCCTTGGAGCTCTGTGCACTGCCTCAGCCCAGAGGACTCCTGGGCTCTCTGTCCCAGAGGCTCTTTTGCTACAAATGAGTGAGTGTGGGCAGGAAGACTCGCAAGTCAGTCCCAGCAGAAGGGGACCATCTGATGGGGGCACAAGGTGGCTGGATCCCTGGCTTGGGCTGAGTGAGAACGGCTCCCTGGCCCATGGAGCAGGGCTGAGAGGCATGGGGAGGGCTGGGCAGAGAGGCTGGCAATTCTGCGGGGGGCGTCATACAGCACCAGGGGCTGGGCTGGGCAGGGAGGCTGGCAATTGTGCCCAGCATCAGGCACATGGAGCTCCTGCACTGGATGGCAACTCAGCATGCTGAGCATTACAGATGTATGCAGTCACAGCTTTTTCTGCAAATGTGCACATATCACGTTCACTAGATACAGAAATACAGGTGCCAAGCATGCATCTGACCACATACATGACTGTGCACCCCCCAACACATCAACAACCTCCCTGGCCCTTTCTCCTTTTCCCTGCCATGCAATGTAAGGACTTGGGAGGGGGAGGGACAGCCCACAGCAGAGGGGCTGCTCTGAACAGGACAGTGCCCCGGGAGGGGCTCTGCACCAACCCAGGGCTGGCCCCGCTCAGCTTCCAGAGCCAGAGGTGTAGGCAGGGGATGTGCCCTGCGGATCTGCATTTCCACACACCCCAGGGAGCGCGCCCAGGGCAAGGAGGGCCTACTCACCGCAGTGCCCACGCAGAAGGCCACAGGCCCAATGGCGGTGCCATTCACCTCAACGAAATCTGGGAATCCCAACCACACAGCAGAGCGGACGGTGATGCCTGAGGGAACACCAGAGGCTGTCAGTTGTCTGGTCCTGACCCGGATCTGAAGCTGACTTGCTGCTTTATGAAGATGGCGGCGGGCCAGGAGGACGGAAGAATAGGCAGACGCTGGGGGAAAGGTCAGGAAGGGAAAAGCACACACATTGGTGCGGGGAGGGAGGGCGAGGCCGAGGCTGAGACTGAGCTACTCAGAAAGTAGCCATTCCTGGCCAACAAACCGCACTCGAACCTCCTCAGCCACGACTGAGTCCCTACCTCGCTGGTTGTTTGGCATTAAGAAGCAGGGATGTAAATATCTCTTGGCCATATTTTTCATGTCCATGGCAACTCACCCCGACACGAAAATGCATTCCTGGAAAAGCACAACTGTGAGGTGTAAGGAGTTCTATCATTCTTTAAAAAAAAATGCATTTTGCACAAATTAGCTCACTGTAACTTGCTATTTATTTAATAACAAATAACTTATTTGAGAGTTTTTCGTGTTATTATACCCAAATATCTAACTGTCCTCAAAACAGCATATACCTAAAGTAAACATTATGGTTCTTTATGTAATACTTGGAAAAGGGCACAGAGTCACATGCTGCCTGCCTGTGCACGGATGTACGAATGCCCGGCAGGTACAACCCTGTAACGTGCTACCTACACGCACCTACATCCATGTAACACACTACCCCGTGGACACATGCAGTCCACTACCCGACAGCACTGTGAAGGTGCTGGGACGTGCTGGGACACCCCCCTCCCCAGGTCTAAAAGCCACTTCCCAGACTGAAGTCTGAACCATGATACCACCCAGCAGCTTCTGCAAGACTCTGCAGCCTGAAGGTAAAGCGGGTCTTTTCACCCCCACTGATGACAGGGTGGGTGGGGGGGGACCAGATCAAAATTGAACAATGGGGGAGGCAGCATTTGCTTCTCTGCAGGGCATTCTTCTAGAGAGGAAGCGATTAAATCCTGCACAGCCTTCCTTTAACATTAACTTAGCTTGGGGCTGGGACAATGGACAAGCAGAAGCCCCTGGGGTCAAAAATAACTACGTTCTGTCTGTGACTCACTGCTCCCACCTACTGAAACTAAACTCAGAATGGTGTTTACTGACCAGTCCCTGCATCCCAGTATCTGCCGGACGCTTCCGGGTTCCAACCCTCACACTGATTACCTAACAGAGTCTTATTGTTGAGACGTGACGTCATGCGGCCTGCAGCCAGGTACATGCTCTGTGGAACACAACTAAGGGGACTATGAAACATCAAAAAGCTTAAGGTAAACCCCACTATCCAGTCACAGCTAACAAAGCCACTGCTATCAAAACCACCGCTTCGGGCCTCCCTGCTGGCGCAAGGGGGCAAGCACAGCACGATGAAGCAATCCCCGGGCGGCCAGGGAGCTACCCACATGGCGCAGCAGACCTCTGCTGGCTCGCCCGCTGCTCCCCTCAGCAGTGGATTTCAGTCTGTCTGCCTGTTCTGCTCCCCGCTGTCTCTGGTGAATCCTCTCACTGCACCCCACCCCAGACCTCTGGCCTGTACCCCAGCTCTTGTATGCATAAATATTTTAAAAAAACACACACTGCTTCTCTTCTGCGTGCTCCTTAGTGTTTTCAGCATTCAGCATCTTCTGAGCTCCGTAAACGCCCAGCGAGTTAGGTGCCCACATCCTCATCTTTCAGCCAGATGGTCAGCTGCCCAAGTCTTCCCCTCACTTTTGCTTCTGCTCATTTTGTTAATGTGCAGACGGAGGGGTCCTCCAGAGCCCCTAAATTTGCACGCTCTAAATGGGTTCTGCCATTCGATGCATATAGACAAAGCATATTCTTAGTATCTAAGACTTTTTAAAAAGAAGAACTTTAACAGGATTTGTGTGCACAGAGAAAAGAAAGAATAATAACAGTTTCCCCATCCTCTCGTGGGTTAATGTCCAGCCAAACAGGGTTGGCCCAAAAGCTGCCACACATCTAAGGCACCATAGGAACCCCCGGGAAGGGGCAGAGGGGGCCAGGCAAGGCTGGAAGGAAAGGAGCAAAATCAAAGCACAAGTCAAGGTAACGGCTGCCATTGCCAGCCTCCCTCGGGGTCTCTCGCCTATAAACTCCTTGCAAGTGTCTCTACAATGTCTCTCGTCCAAGTCCCCTGAGCCCCCGAGGGCAAGCAAGCATGCCTTCCCCCTTCTTTCCTCCAAGGCCCCCCTCCCACGTCTTCCCTAGCTTCCCCTCGGCGCGCAGCTCCAACATGGACAGACCCTCCAGGGAGCTGTGTGGACAAAGTGCCGGGGGTCTGAGGTTGGCGAGGGCTGGGGTTGCAGGTGAAGCCAGGACTTGGGTCCGTGCCAGTCTCCCTACACTCGTATGTGAGACAACTTCCAAACTGAGACGTGAACCCAAAAGGCCGGCATGATCTAGCTCAGGAGTCTGCAAAAGGCGACCGCGGGCTTGGCAAAGTTTCTGTGAAGGGCCGATGGTAATGACTGGAGGCTTCGTGGGCCAGTTTCTCTCTCCGGTTTCCCTCCACCCGGGCAAAAGTGGCCCCACCCGGCAGCCAGGGCGGGAGCCTGGTCCCCTCAAACCACACTAAGGGATGCTAATACTCACATGCCAGGGGATATTACTTTGATTTTGAAAAAAGGCTTTTTTTGTTCATAATCACCTGCCTATTTTATTCATTAAATTTCACATTTCTTATTTGATAACATTTCCCAAACAGAATAAAACGCACTCTAAAAAGTAAAACCACTCAGTCCTGGCGGGGGGAGGGGGGGGCAGCGGGCAGGGTCTGCAGCCCTGGGGAAGCCGCTTGCAGCCCAGCCCCGCTGGGGAGGGGGCCACACACAGAACACTGGCCCGGCCCGGCCTGCCCCTGCTGGCACAGTTAGTGGACGCGGAGACTCCCGGTGCCGCTGCAGGGCCCTGCCTAAATCCCCTCGCGGGAACTCGCTGTGCCACGGCCAACTCTCTCATTCAGCGCAAGCGCCTCAGGACTTCATCTTCACCGACTGTCTCAGTTTTGTTTTTTTTTTAGGGTCCCGTCTCACAAGCGCCTCCTCCAGCTCCTCTCCTGTCTGTGCTAAGCCGTGCAGGGTACCGCGCATCGGCAGGCTTTCCTGCCCCCCGCCGTGCATGGCTGCTGGATCCCGCGGTCCCCAAGGCACGCCCGATGGCGGCACCTGGAGGGGTGCGGGCATGCGTAAGTGGGTGCACCTGGGCTCCGGCTGGGCTGATAAGGGCGGTGCCAGGGAGACGCCAGCAGAAGCAGAACCACGAGCAGCAGAGGGAACGCGGGAGAGCCCAGAAAGAGTCCCGGCTCCTGCCTGCCGTGTGCCTGGTAAATCCCAATAAAAGCCTGCAGAAGCCCCGAGGGCTCCAGGACTCCCCCTTGACCCCGCCGGCCCGGATCACACAGAGCCTGCCCTGTGCCCATGCCCGCCGCCGCAGTCAGGAGACGCCCCGCCTTACCCAAGCTGCGGGCCCGGCGCCCTCGCCCGCGCGCCCACCGGGTCGCAGCCAGGCGCCGCCCCCCGGCAGCAGCAGGTCTGACCGCCGCCGGTGGGCCCTCCGCGGGCCTCGGGCCAATCACACCCGCCCGGGCGAGCGCTTCGCCCAGGGCAGGGCGGGGCCAACCGCGCGCGCGCATCCTCACCCGCGTGCAGAGCAGGTCACAAGCCGCAGGTGTGCGCCCTCGCCGGCGTGCAGAGCAAGTCACAAGCCGCAGGTGTGCGCCCTCGCCGGCGTGCAGAGCAAGTCACAAGCCGCACGTGTGCAGAGCAAGTCACAAGCCGCACGTGTGCAGAGCAAGTCACGCCGCAGGTCACGCCAGCACCCACCGGGTCCCAACGCGGGCCGCGCGCCCTCACCCGGGCATCTCCCGGGTCCCAACCCGGGCCAAGCACCGTCACCCCGGTACCCACTGTGTCCCAACCCGGGCCAACCGCCCTCACCCCACCACCCATCGAGTCCCAACCCGGGGCCGCGCGCCCTCACCCCGGCACCCCCGGGTCCCAGCCCGGGCCGCGCGCTCTCACCCAGGCATCCCCCGGGTCCCTAGCGGGGCCGCGCGCCCTCACCCCGGCACCCCCGGGTCCCAGCCCGGGCCGCGCGCTCTCACCCAGGCATCCCCCGGGTCCCTAGCGGGGCCGCGCGCCCTCACCCCGGCACTCCTGGGTCCCAAGCCGGGCTGCGCGCCCTCACCCCGGCACTCTTGGGTCCCTAGCGGGGTCGCGCGCCCTCACCCCGGCACCCCCGGGTCGAAGCCCGGCTGCGCGCCCTCACCCCGGCACTCCCCGGGTCCCTAGCGGAGCCGCGCGCCCTCACCCCGGCACCCCCCGGGTCCCAGCCCGGGCCCGCGCCCTCACCCCGGTACTCCCCCCCCCGGGTCCCTAGCGGGGCCGCGCGCTCTCACCCAGGCACCCCCCAGGTCCCAGCCCGGGCCCGCGCCCTCACCCCGGCACCCCCCGGGTCCCAGCCCGGGCCCGCGCCCTCACCCCGGTACTCCCCCCTCCGGGTCCCTAGCGGGGCCGCGCGCTCTCACCCCGGCACCCCACGGGTCCCAAGCCGGGGCCGCGCGCCCTCACCCCGGCACTCCCCGGGTCCCAAGCCGGGCTGCGCGCCCTCACCCCGGCACCCCCGGGTCCCAGCCCGGGCCCGCGCCCTCACCCCGGCACCCCCGGGTCCCAGCCCGGGCCCGCGCCCTCACCCCGGTCCCCCCTCCCCCCGGGTCCCTAGCGGGGCCGCGCGCTCTCACCCCGGCACCCCACGGGTCCCAAGCCGGGCTGCGCGCCCTCACCCCGGCACCCCCCGGGTCCCAGGCCGGGCCGCGCGCTCTCACCCCGGCACCCCCCCCCGCGGGTCCCGGCCCGGGCCCGCGCCTCACCCAGGCAGCCGAGCAGGTCGCAGGCGGAGGCGGCGCGCAGGATGCGGGCCGAGGCGGCCGGGGACGCGGGGGGCGCGCGGGGGCCCGCGGGCCGGCGCCCGGGCAGCAGCGGCAGGAGGCCGAGCGCCAGGCGGAGCGCGCCGCTGCCCAGGCACAGCGCGTGGACCGCCCGCGGCTGGAAGCTCAGCACGAGCTGCGTGGCGGCGTCGCGCGCGGGGCAGCAGGAGGCGCCCAGGCGCGGGGAGGCCATGGCCGCGCTGGCGGCCGCCGCTCGCGGGTGCCGGGACCCCGCCGGCCGCGCCAGGGGCCGCGCGGGCCGCGAGGGCGTCATGTGCCCGGCCCGCCCCGGCCGGCGGGCGCCGCGAGGCCTCACGAGGGGCGGCCGGCGGGGGACGCGGGCGGGGAGGGAGCGGGGGAGGGGCCGGCGGCGGGGCCGCGGGGAGGGGAGGCGCGGCCGGGCCCCCCAGGTCCGCTTTCCGGCGGACCCCGGCCTCGGGGCGGCGCGGCTCCTCCCCGCTCCCCCGGCGCGCGCGGGCCGCGCGCTCCACACGCGCCCGGGGCTCGGCGGGAGGCTCCGGGCACCCGAACGCGGCCCCACACGGCCCCAGGGCGAAGAGAGCCTGTTTCTGGGCCCTCTCCGCCATGGAGGAATCCCACGGAGGCCGGATTTGCTTTAAAATCAACACATCAAGGCTAAAGAAAGGGGGAACTAGGGCCCCCAACTGGACCCACACACACTTTTGCGCCTTCACTTCGGCCTGTCCCATTTTTATTCGACAACACTACAGTTGTGGTTTAGACGTTCCCCACTCTCTCTGGCGAATCCCCTCACCCCCCACTTCTGACCCGTACCCCAGTTCTTGTATGCACAAATAAATGTTTAAAAAACGTAAATAGACATTCTATTTTTTAAAAACATTTATTTATGCCCCAGAGACAGCGTGGGAACAGAGTAGCAGGCAGACTGAAACCCGCTGCTGAGGGGAGCAGCGGGCGAGGCGAGAGAGGTCTGCTGCGCCATGAGGGTAGCTCCCTGACCCTACCGGGGATGGAGCTGGCGCTGTACAGGCTTCAGATCAGCTTCATGGTGCTGTGCTTAACCCCTTGCGCCACCAGGGAGGCCCCTAAACAGATATTCTAAATCAGCTTCTGGGTAATGGTTTAGAGAAGGATGATCTTCGGGTTTATTAGATCTGAGCAACTTTAGTTTCTATTTTTTCATCATACATTGAAAATCGTCCTTAATTCTATATGCACAAAAGCTTTTCGGTTTTTTAAAAAAGATTTTTATTGATTTACACATACAAGAGCTGGGGTGTAAGCCAGAGGTGGGGGGGAGCTGAGAGGATTCCCCAGAGACAGAGTTGGGGGCAGAGCAGGCGGATCTGCTGAAATCCACTGCTGTCCAGGAGACAGGAGAGGTCTGCTGCGCCATGTGGGTCAGCGCCCTGGCCAGGATTGAACTCATGCCACAGTGGCTGGGGATAGCTTGACGGTGCTGAGACTTTAACCCCTGTGCCACCAAGGAGGCCCTGCACACAAAAGCTTTTAAATTGCATGAGTACTATTGATAATAAAGGAAGTTCAAGAGTGAAAATACAAACCCCCCTCTCCTTTTTGGCTTTACTAACAAAAGCTTTATTTTTTTTTTTTTTATTATTATGTTTGTTTTGTTTATACATGCACTGGGTACAGTCAGAAGCGCGGGAGGGTGAGAGAATTCACCAGAGCCAGAGTGGGGAGCAGAGCAGGCAGAAGGACCGAAGTACACTGCTGAGGGGAGCAGCGGGCGGCAGGAGAGGTCTGCGCGCCATGTGGGACCCTCCTCTGGTGGCCGGGGAGCATCCAACCGCGCTCAGACCACCCTTGACCTCAATTGAGGTCCCCTCACTAGGTTTTTTTTTTGATCCACCAGAAGTCGAGAGACCCCAGAGTCATCCTCAGTTCTCTTACTGGGCACTCAATGCAAGCACATGCACTCCCACCCAGCGCCCTTCTGCCCTGCCACCAGCTTTGCATTTTTAAGTAAGTCAGGCAAAGCCTGAGCTCAGCATCTGCACCTTCTTTACGCAAGGTCAGGGCTTCCTGCCTGGGCCCACGGAGGCCACCCTGCCAGATGGGAAGCTGGGCCTCAAACAAAGGGCCGCCGGCGCCACCACCTGAACAGCATCCGACCTGGCACATCAACAAGCAGAGGTGGCTGCTTTGCTAAACGCCTGCACAGGGCCACCAGGGTCAAAAGCCTGACCCTGTCAGCTGCTGGGCGCTGCTGGCCCAAGGTGGCTGAATCCTTTACAAAGCACGATCCTGGGCCTCCTTCCCTTCCCTTTTGGATACAGGTGGCTTCTGGCGGTCAGTGCGTGGACAGAGCTTCCACAGGCAGAAACACAAAGGCAGCGCCTCTGTGGCTGCGGGACATGGAGAGCGCTGGGTGTCCAGTCTACACACGTCATCCCAGGGGCAGCTGTTTCGTACCTGAGATGCATGTACCCCTCTCTGCTTCCCGAGGGCGAATCTGTGGGTCTTGGACCACTCACGTGTCCGGCGTTGAGAGGCAGGTTCCCAGGGGTCACTGGTCAGAATTACCTGGGGAGGGAAACTGGTAAAAAGGAAGACCCCCAGGTTGCATCCACTCAAATGGGCCCCAGACCAAGCTAGCAGAAGGAACGGTCTCCCCAAGATGTCCAGAACACCTCTTCAAGAGTTGTCCCTTTAGCATATGGATTATATGTGAATATATAAATTAATGTGCATGGTTGTGTTCCCATAGTGTATTTACAAAGTTCGCAAGGGGCCAGGCATTTTGACAGCAGAGGCCTGCCCCCAGAGGCTGTGCCTGCCCCAAAGACTGGGCAGCTAAGCCTGAAAGGCAGGGAGATTAACACCTATGGGGCGGGCAAACAGGCCAGAGAGCAGAGGCAGGAAATTGATGGCAGCTAAATGGCTCACACTTCCTCCCTCCCTGTGAAAGTTTCCAAGGAGTGTTTTCATACAACCCTGAACAACGTTGTGTTTTTTGGAAATCTGTGGCTAGTTCCTAAATATACCACCTTTCATTTGCTACTCCTTCTTTCTGGCCTCTCTTCCCTTTTGCCCTCGCTCCTACCATCCCGGGATCTGATGCCTCCCCCAGTAAGCCCTCAGCACACAGTTTGCCTAGGTGCTCAGTTTTCTTTTTCTTTCTTTTTTTTTTTAATGACATATAATGTTTTGTTTTTTTTTTAAAGATTTATTTATTTATTTATACAAGCACTGGGTACAGTCAGAAGCGCGGGAGGGTGAGAGAATTCACCAGAGCCAGAGCGGGGAGCAGAGCAGGCAGAAGGACCGAAGTACACTGCTGAGGGGAGCAGCGGGTGGCAGGAGAGGTCTGCGCGCCATGTGGGACCCTCCTCCGGTGGCCGGGGAACTGCCGGGGATCAAACCGGCGCCGCAGAGGCTGCGGGCAGCTTCGCAACCCAGCGCTCAACCGCTGCGCCACCCGGGAGGCCCAAGGTGCTCAGTTTTCTAAGGAGCCCAGGTAAGACCGTGCCTGCCTGCTGAAGGATTTCAACTGCTATAGCCGGAGCCTTCAGGGCCCAGTAACATCTTTGCTTTCCATTAACAGAAATGTGTGAAATTCCATGTGCAAATTGATTAAGCAAGAATAGAGAGACAGTGCATGTCCAACAAATATGGAATATTACCAGTTCTTAATAAAAAACACATAAAGGGGGGGCTCCCTGGTGGCGCAAGGGGTTAAGACGCAACCTGTCCGCAGCTTCTGCAGCACAGGTTCGATCCCTGGCTGGCCAGGGAGCTACCCACATGGTGCAGCAGACCTCTCCTGACTCACTTGCTGCTCCCCTCGGCAGTGTATTTCAGTAGATCTGCCTGTTCTGTTGCCCGCTCTGTCTCTGGGTAGTCCTCTCACCCCCCCACACCTCGGGCCTGTACCCCAGCTCTTGTATGCATAAATAAATCTAAAAAAAAATAAAAACGCATAAAGGGAAAAGGTATTGCCAGCACCAGATAAATGAATTAATCATAAACATACAGGGAAGGTGGAGAAAAAATCAGTTACCTATGATTTAAAATTATATTGTGGGCCTCCCGGTGGTGCAGCATGTTGAGCGCAGTGCTGTGAAGATGTCCGCAGCCTCTGCAGTGCTGGTTCAATTCTTGGCCAGCCAGGAATGTGGATTATATTATATATAATATATATGTGGATTATATATAGATATATATTAGCAGCACACCTCTCCCGTCTTGCCCGCTGCTCCCCTCAGCAGTGTATTTCAGTAGATCTGCCTGTTCTGCTCCCCACTCTGTCTCTGGTGAATCCTCTCGCCCTGTGCCACCCCACATCTCTGGCCTGCACCCCAGTTCTTATATGCTTAAATAAATAAATAAAATAAATAAATAAATAAAATCTTTAAAAAATAAAATAAATCTTTAAAAAATTATACATTTTAGGGCCTCTCCTGGTGGCACAGCGATTGAGCGCTGGGCTGTGAGGCTGCCCACAGCCTCTGCAGCACCAGTTCGTTCCCCAGCCTCCGGCGAGGGTCCCACAAAAATAAATAAAATTTTTAAAAAAATATTATATATATATATATATACATTTTAATCACATCACACCTGAGAACAGATTTCTCCAAGTCTAATGTGTATTCCCTTAGAGAACTCACTGAAAAACACTGAAAAGAGGTCTGGGTGGGGGAATTAGATTTCCAGCAAGCTACCCAGAGACACAGATGCTGCCCTGCAGAGGCTCCAGCCTAGAGCTTGTTTCCCAAACTGAAAAAAAGAGGGGCCAGTGTGGCCACATTTAAATGCAGGAAGTGCTTCAATAGAATAAAGAGATGCAGGAAAACTAAGCTGCATCTAACTAAGCCAAAGAACATTCTAAAGGCAAGCAATGAGTCAGCATGGAAGTAGGGTTAGGGCCATGAGCACATCCTCCCTCTGGATGAAGGCCCCCGGCGAGGAGAAATGTTTGGGAAGGACAGGACAGGCTTCAGGATGCTGGGAGGAAACGGAAGCAACTGGAAGCGGAAGAAGAGAGATAAGCACCAGGGGAGACAAACAACAGCGGCCTTTCATCAAGAGAGAATGTCCAGACAATGTCCTCGGGTTGAAACCTAAAGAACTTTCTGGCTGCTCTAGACAAAGGAAGAGCCCAGGCTCCCGGAGACTCCCTGGAAGGCCTCGGTGAGCAGTTCAGGCCCCTCAAGCAGACCTATCTAACCACAGAGGATCCTGCCCCTC